TTTCTCCTTTGTTTTTAGCAATCCTGTTAAAATTCAAGTGGCGCTTGGACGTCACGATCTAGCAAAACGAGAGCCAAGTGGTCAGCTCTATGAAACAAAATCGTATGCCATTCATCGCCATTGGAGTAGACAAACGCTACAGCATGACATAGCATTGATAAAACTACCAAGGTATGGGTATATCATGAATTTTAAAAATTAATGGCTCCACAGACGACAAACTTTGGACTATAAAGCTCTTTTGTCGAAAGTTCTTCTGCTTTATTTCCAAGTAGCTGATTTACAAGATGTTAAATTTGAGTATTACTTCGGTTATTAAGAGTATACTACTATATACGGGCAGTTCTATTGAAAAAATGCATGTTTGCGTTGCCTTTTACTTATGAATCAACCTGTAGGGATCGAAATATTTTCTGAGTAAAAAGCATATAATTGCCTATCAGTTTTCCAACATTTACCAAACTTTGATTATGGTGGGTGGACCTTAGAAGGCCACGCTAACAAATGTTCATTATTCCTTTATTTGCTGGATTAATGTAGTAATTAAATTAAAATAACACTTTGTTTTATTACGTAACTTTTCTTCACTTCACACAGTTAATCAATATTAATTTGATTTAAGTTCCATTAAACTTTTCCAAACTCTCTACTTACAAAGAGCATCGCCTTCCGTGACCCACCCACCTTACCCTAAAATTCTCTTAGGAGTGCAACTTTGAACCAATACGTGAAGACAATAAGCTTAGCTAGTAGCTTGACCAAATTATATTCTGGACATACCATTGCTCTCGGATGGGGACAAACATCGGGTGGAGGAAATTCAGCAACTACTAAGCTTAGGGTAGTGGATGTGACGCTGATGTCACTTCAGACATGCCAGTACATATATGGAGATGATGTAAGTACAAAAAATAGGTTGAATGATTGAATGATTATGGGTAAAAATACCTACTTGGTTCCGGCACCCGAATCGTAGAGGGTATCCAAAAAATATGGAAACATTCTAAGGCTTTTAAAGTTTTATAAACGGTGACCTTGAACGTGACTTCGACCATGTCCTTCAAGATCATTGGAAGGCCAAGGAGGTTGTTTTGAACGGAAAACTCTATTTTTTACACCGGAAATTCAAGGTGTCCCAAAAGTCATGGGCAAATGAAAGAAGGTGGTAGGGAGGTGATTTTCAATCAGAAAAACCATATATGTCCTTATCCGATTGTGCACAGTTTTTGATTCATCCCCATTTTTAGGAATCTGTGGAAAATCGCTACTTTTGGGACTGTACATTTTTTCTGAAGTTGTTGTTTTGTTATTTTTCAATCAGATTTACAGAATATGATATGTCGTTGAAAAAACCTATATAGGTACAGCAATCGGCTAATCTGTTGGGAAATGGGAATTTCCGGACTTAGGGTACCTGCAGCATTTTGTCTACTGTACCCTGAAACTACTCAGGATATTTGATTATCTAATAGGTATTTTAAAAGACCTTAGTATCGAGAAGTTTTCATCACTATGGGGACTTTATCCGCCTACTAATTTCTTGTACAGGTCTCGTTGAATATGCTGAAATCTTTTTGATAACAGACAAAATTGCAGACTCATAGCTTTTTTCAAGCGACACATCATTTGGGAACATATCCTGTAAATCACTTGGAAAATAACAAAAGACAACTTCAGAAAAAAATAGTACAGTCTCAAAAGTGCGGTATTTCACAAATTCCTAAAAATGCAATAACTTAAGCTCCCATCACCCCGTTTCGTATGCTGCATGACTTTTGGGACATCCTGTATAAAGAGCGGAAAATTTTACGTTCAAGCATGCCCTTGTCATGACCTTTGGCATAACCTTCAAGGTCATTTGAGAGTGAGTAAAAAGTATGGAAAGTACAAAATACGAATATAACGGAAGTTGTCAGGTCTGAGAAGGGTGACCTTGAGCATCACCTTCAAGGTTATTTGAAGGTCAATTAACTGATGATTGAGTGCGAAACATTTTGCGCTCAAGCTTGTCTATAATATGACCTTTTCTAGGACCCTTAAGATCATTTAATGGTCAAATGGAACCTAAAAGGTCGTGCTCTAAGTCATGGGCAAGAGCATGCGTGAACATAAACAGACAACCAATTTGCACTTTTCACCTCAATACATATTCCACTTGAAAAGATTTATAAAACGGTATACTCGTTTGTATGTAGGTCTTATACCTACCGCTCGTTTCAGAACATGTTTATTTATTGTTTCAGGTAATTACGAGAAGCCACATTTGTACCAAGGGGCCAGACCTCAGCATCAAAGGTACTTGCAACGGTGACAGTGGAGGACCTCTGGTACTGAATGGGGTTCAAATCGGAATCGTATCATTCGGATCTGCTGACTGCATGGAACTGAGCCCTTCAGTCTACACTAACGTTGCCGTATATGAGACATGGATCAAACTGATGTTGAATCATTCGGATGCATTTAGTGGAGCTCCAAATCAAAATAACAAGCTGTCCGTTTATATACTTTCAGGAGTGTTGATTATATACACAATAATATAAGAAAATCTTACGGTATTTTTCCAGGTCAAATGATTGTCTCTGTGTTAATTCTGGCCAATAAATTTTATCAACGTTCGGGATATATTTGCAATTATACTATCTTCTCTTATGTATATGTGTATCTAAATATTATATATGTGTATATATATATATATATATATCTATGTGAGCGGTAGTCATTGCCATTGCCAACGACCAGTTGGGAAAAAAATAAAATTAATTGTTAATTGGGAAATTGGCAAAATTTTTAGGCGTTAGTAAACTCTTTTAAAATCGCGAGCTTTCGGCATTCTCTATGGAGCCATCTTCAGGAGCTGAAACACAATTATGATGCTAGCAACCAATACGGGAAGGATTTAAATTGTCAGACAACTTACTTGTCGTTGAGGTTGCAGCCAAATATATATATATATATATATATATATATATATTGAGATTTAAACTGGATGTCGTGTTATATTTTAGTTTTATAGTACAATAAGCATAGAATATGCGACTGTGATACCTGATTAGCAAGGATGTTGAAAGCATATTATTTATTTGAGTAAATATATAAAATGAGAACCTATTAATTTTTGTTTTACTATGAATTATTCATGACATATTACTTCTAGCCCTAATTGAAACTGACAAAGGTCAGGAACTTGATTTTAACTGAATTCGGAGACATGCTTATCGTTTGAAAATTCGGAAAAAAATGCGAATTATAGCGTTTAGGCAACTTTTCCGTTATACCTGATAATATGACTATTCCGAGGTATAACTGCCCAAGTAATTCAAAAACGGCCTCTGGCGATTTGATAAAATTCATTCGGTAGATATTTTGGTATAAATTATTTTTTTCGCATTTTTGTACTGTTGTAGGCTACTCAAAAAGACTTATGTTTTGTCACACAAGGTCACTAGGTACTCTGCAAATGTTGGGAGTTGGAGTGTGTACGTGTGGGAGGCATATCCTAATTTTTTTGATGTTGGTATATTTATATAATCCCCACGAAAGAAGCAGAAATAAGCCAGCGCTAATCATTTCACCGAGTACCCGCAACTCGCGGTATTCGAATCTGGCCGGTGGCCGGTCTTTTTAAGGAAGTGGTACTCGGTGAAGCTCCATTATGAACTTTTCGGGCTGTTTTTCTTAGAGTAATGATGGAATAGTATTGTTTAGTTCCCGTATATAGGGGACTGTTAGCGAATCATTCTGGTCCCATATTTGATGTGTATGAGAGAGAGTGAAACACGTATGTTAGAGAGAGCGCGAATGAAGCATGGTCGACACGAAGTCTGTGTACCCTTCATTCGCGCTCTCACTTTGGCATACCTGCTTCCTTTATGATCAATGACACTGTTCACTTTCTCGACAGAGTTGTTAGGAAACACCAGAGACAGACTCTATTATTTCGGTCGCCTGTAGTTCTCTTGTGATACTGTGTCCTGCCGCGTAAGAAACTTATAACGGTATAGTTATTTTATGGCTAAATAAAATGAAGGTCGGACTAGGTTTATCCTGTATTCTTATAATGAAATAATAAACAAGTTAAATTATGAAAATTTTATTACTGTATAACAACAATGGTATAATAAAACAATAAAAAATATAGCCCAACTGGTACAGCGTAACAGAAAAATACTAGATTTGGCGTACCTACTTCTGCTATATGGAAAATTACTATACAGAGTGCCCCACTACGATCTACTGCGATCAATTACTCGAAAAGTGGAAGTCAGACAATTATAAAATTTAGGGTTTCCATGTAGTTGATAGGAGCAATTTGGCTAAAATATTTACAAAATGATTCCAGTTTCGGATCTATCGAAAATAGAAGCAACTTTTTTATTTCGAATAGAACACCCTATATATGTATAACATCATATTCCTAAGTGTAACCGTCTTTTGATATCCTAATCTTTACGTACACAGGCCAATAGATATTATACATTACAATAATTGAATATTAAAGATTTTAGTGTTTTTTTTGCCATACGCCTCTTTCCTTATAATAGGAGCAAATATAGGTCCACACTTTGGTAAAAAATTAGATTAAAAAAAATCCAAATCTAATTTTTTTATTATTCCACGGCATTAAGCATTGAAAATAAGGATAATTTTATGCCAGGCTATCAACTTTCCAAGTGAGTAATTTCCGAGGTATTTAGAAATTACCTTTCCAGAGAAAGGTTAAAGGAGCATAAAAATCACATCATGCACACATATTTCTAAATATCTCGAAAAGTACTGATTTTTGAAGTCGACAGGCCTGTACGAAATTATTCTTATTTTCACTTCTTAATAAGATGATATAAAAATGTGTATTCCATTTTGGAAAGTTGAATCTTGAGGCTTTTCGAAAAAAAAATTGAAAACGATTATTCTTAGTTATAAGAAGTTATACATTAAACATGCTTAGACTTTTGCGCGGAATCCATAAATGAATGAAGTATAGGGCTTCCCATCCAAAATAAGCAAGTTCGTCCACTGATAATGGCACTTCCGATATAACCGGAAATGAAATTATTTTTATAATATTCGTTCGCTTCATTACACGCTGACTCCAAACTTTCGTAACTGAACTTTTTCAGTATGCATTGAATCGCAGTTCTTGATGTTCCGACCTGTAGACTTTTAAATGCACTATGTATCACTATATACTTAAATGCTTGAATGATAAATAAGTTTCATTCTGAACTGGGATAGTTCCGAATAAGGCTTAGAAGGTACTCAGAATCTTAAAAACCAAATAAGTGCTAATCATGCCAATAAAAACTTTAGCAACATCAATTCTAAAATCTCCAATTTGGTGGATCTGCTGGTCAGCTTGAGGATGTAACTGAACTTGCGGACTTCCATTAATTAAAACTCCATTCTGATGGTTTAAATAGTTCACAACTTCATTCAACTTCTCTCTGTTCCTCATAACCTCATGTAAGGTTCTATCATTCGCTTGTACAAGATTTGATACAATCGGTTCAGTATCTATGTTTAGAGTAGCTAACTTTTCTTCTATAAATGCTTTCAAGTCATGCTTTTTTGCTGTTGAGTAGACAAATGCTAAGAACGACCCGGCTATGCTCAACACAAGGCCAAAGTACTTTGTATATTCTAGTTGTGCCCTCTGTTTTTCGTGAGAGTCCCTAATCGCATTGGTAAAAGCTGTGAAGAGTTCTCTTTCCATTTGGTCATAGTCCTGGAATGTGGACGCGATTGACTTTTCTAGCTTCAGCACCTTGTGGGAAAACACGTACTTTAGTTTTAGTGACATGATATGCATATGTTACAAACAAAGCTGTAAAGGGTATACAACAATCCATACTAACTGATACTAATTGTATTAATAGTATATGGTGAAATCACTGCTTGACATGCCAAAGGCATTATTGTTAATTGTTAAAGTAAGAAGTGTCAAAAAATACCAGGACAACTGTTGTTTTCAAAAATGGAAATATCATGATTCTATAGCTGTTTAGTATGTGTGATAGTGGTAGACAATTTCAGAAAACAGCTGTGTAAGAAATTAAGATGTGTTATTTCATTAATCAAAAAATCGCGTGAAACGAGAGTTTCTCAACACTTTGGTGTCTGTGGAAAAAAATTTGCTTGCCTGGAAAACAGACATCATGAATGCCTATGGTAGGAAGGGATAGGGATACAGCAAGAGAGAGTTAAACATCCACAGATCAATAAAAGTTGTTCAAGTGATAATATTGAACAAAAATGGAGGCACATGTAATATTGGAATCAATTGCAAATATGTATAGATCAATAGCAGCTAAATAAATTTTATTAAAAGCAAGTGCTAATAAAATTTTTTCCTAGAGATTTTGAAATTACCTCAGAAAAAATCAGTTCAAAATTCAGAGGTAACTGGAAGTAATAGGAGTATGGAAAGGTGGTGTTTGATACATTGTACTGATAATACAGCCTAAGCCCTGTATTAGAATACTTTTAAAGTATGTGAGTGGAGTTGCATTGTTTTATTGCTTTGAAGAAAGTATTGCATATGGCAGCTCAATTAGGATCACTGTCCTCAGATGTATTCAAGAGAGTACTATCTATAATGTACGAATAATCTGCGGATTCATCTTTCATCAACTGGTGAAGAAGTGAAAATTGAGTAGTGTCTGCAATGCTGGCAACAATTATTAATTAACTATTTATATTGCCTTCTGTATGGTGGCAAAGCTTGTATTTGAATAAATCTGCCAAGTCAGGTTGCTGTCCAGTTACATTGTGTAGCCAGCTGACTCTACTATTTTAACAAACAAGTGATATCATATGGTGGGAAAAAAATTAATATCCCAAGCTAAAACACTCATCCCCTGGCTGGTGATAAAGTTCATTATTATAAGTTGAATCATGACATGATTACCTCTGTTTCTTGCCTCATAAGGTCCAGAAACTTATCATCTGTGCGTTTCACCCTTTGTATTGCATCTTGCAATTCCAAGGACTGCTTTCTGACCTCAGCTAGTTGTTTCCCTATATCTCTGCGCTTGTCTTGCGTCGTCAAGAGTTGTTCCTAAATACAGCATCAGTTAGTCAATGTCTTCATAAACAACTGAATAATCCAAGAATTTACTCACCTACCTGCAAAGCTGTAACTTTATCTTGTGACAATTTTACCTCATCTAAGCCTATAATCTTTGTATACCACTTATTCAAGTTTACTAATTTGTCATAAACAATTTTCTTCTTTTCCTCTTTCACTGTATTCAGGTAGATAGGCGCTTCAGCTACAGCCAATTTTATTGATTTTCTCAAGGCATCTACACTTTGATTATTGATTAGGCGCATCACAGATGATAACCTCATGTTCATTTCTTTTCTTTCAGTAATTTTATCACATAACTATTTTTCGAAATAAAACTCAACAATTTATTTGTAATTCTAAAAATAATGGAATTTAGGTTATGTATAAACGTCAAAAGTGTCAAAATTAGTCGTTGGTCAAGTTCATGACTTGCTGCGTTGTCAAGCTTACAAGCAGCATGAGTTGCTGCAACTTCTTCATTCAATAAACTCTTGGAGACATGCTTAAGCTCACGATTCTGTCTGGTAGCAACAATAAAAAGTAGTCAAATACTCGGTATACGGATTTACCATAAGGAGTTAAAATGAGCGTATCAAAAACTCAGAAGGGGAATTCGCTCATTTTTTGAACGGGTCACGCTAAAAAGCTAAAATTCGTGGTGATGAAATAAATGCAGGAGTACACATAATGCGGGTCCCACACGATGCTTCCAACGTTGTATACAACATTGTGTACAACGTTCGACACCCCACAATTGGTGCCAACGTCTATTATCGGTGTCAGTGTCGCACTTGAACCTTTACAACTGAAGGTTAAATAATTTCAGATCTGTCTTCAGCGACCCAAACGTTTTTAGACGATAACTCTGCCGCCACAGTACCGATTTTCAAAAACTGCAGAGATTTTTCGTCATTTTCATAGTAGTAACCTAGAGTTTCATCAAAATCCTGATAGTACTTAGTTATCATTTATTTAATCGTTTCCGTTAGTTATGAAATGCAAGTCAGTATATTTCTCAAGTAGTATTGCATTGCAACAGGACATTATAATGAGACAACTGTAAGCACTTGATAATTTATAATTTACTAAAATACATATCGTTATGCCCCATAACTCACCTGCAAAATGTACAAAATATTAGCAATATGAAAAAAGTGTTATGGCAGCCTATGCTTTGTATGTATATTAATTTAATTCGTTTTCCTCAACAGTTAGTTACGCAACATGCATTATTAAGGATAGGTAGGTATTCAAATCAAAATACTTCCCACTTACCACTACTTCATCACAATCACAGCAAACAGCAAACAAATAAATAATGTTTTTCGCCGCTACTGGTTCTAACCTAAAACCATCAAACACATGACATCTCGTGTGGGAGCGTAACGAACCATGCTTCCAACGTTGTAACGTCCTTTGACGCGGGTCAAATTTACGGACATTTTTTGCAAATCGTATTTATGTGATAGAACATAGTACGTACATTATAATGATTATAATTCCATACAGAGTAAGCTCATTCGTTCCGCAAGGGTCAAACTTGGGCCCACTTCTATTTATTCTAGTTATAAACGATCTATATAAGGTAATTTTTCCCTAAAACAGCGTTGTTGCCGAAGCTCGTAACGCTGGAAACGTTTTCTTGTCTTATAATATGTAATTGTATTTAAAGACGGTTAAATTATAGAAGAATGTAAGTTCTAGATCACAGATAAATGCAACAAATAGGCATTGGCTTAGATGGATTAAATTTGGATTTTTATTTTATATGCAGTATGGTAAGGTAGTATTTTATTCTAGTTCTGCTGGTCTTGTGGTCACTTGTCACGACACATTACCGAAACCTTTTTATGAAAAAAATCACACAGCTCTGAAATATTGGAGTGTGCTTCATGTCAAAATAAAAAAGTAATTCGCCATGATTGTTCATTTTGTCAGACAAGAGCCAAGGTCCTGCGGACCGCCCAAATAACAAACGACGAGACGCCATGATTGTCAGTCGTCCGTGTACTGTCAATTCGCCATGGTTAAGTGTAGTAGTCATAAAAAAATCTTGAGTTACCATTATTTATGTTGCAAACTAATATACAAAATCACTCAACATTGAACGCCTGCCATTTTGAATGTTTCAATATGGAGCTATCGGTGTCTAGCAAGCAAACTGGCAACATGCTTTGCAACAAAACTTGTGCAGGTTTCCGTAAACATTGATACAACGAATGTCAAATAGATGGCACAACCGCCGAAAGCCCTACAGCGAGATTTGAAATTAAAAAATATATATGCATTGGATAATCAAATTCCTGCATGCATAATATAAATATTAGTTTGAAGAACCTACTTTAAGAAGTAGTTTTCCTCCACATTTTCCTATACAATAAGAAGGTCAGCGTGCGTTATCTCTCTTCCAATTATTTAATCTAATCCAATAGGTGCGTTCTATTGTATTAGACCATTAACGGATTATCCTTAGTAGTGAAAAACTATCTATCGCTCCTTGGTATAAACAATCATTTTGGTAAGATAAAACAACATAGCAAACAAATTTATTTTCACACCAATTTAGTCCGGATCCATTGATAAACTTTTATGCGATACGACAGCGCAAAATAAAGATGCGCACGCCAAAAAATTCTCTACATGAATGTATTTCAACATTTTCGCAACAAATTGTGATAACAGATTATTACATTAGCGGTTTGCGTATATAAGTTGAACATTGCTGCAAGTCCCATTGACTTCCAGGTCCGACTGGGTTTTCGTGGGAGATAGTTTGAGTGCGTACTATGGACGTGAGTAATAGTATCAACAATGAGAAGAAGAAGAAAGAAAGTGGCGTGAGGTCTGTTTCCAAGCAGGTAAGCCGGATCATTCTTTATAGTTTTTTTTAATTCCCTCCTAAAAATATGGGAAAACGTTTAAGCGACCTTCACTATGCTATTTTCGGAAACCCGCTTGAGCCTAAAGATACAGGTAGTATAAATTTTTCAAAAAGTAATTGCTCTGTATTAGCTAAAAATACACGTGAGGCTTCTTAGTCCGAAAAACCTTTTTAGAGTGATTACTTGCAAAGCCTATTTGTACGCTTCTTCTTTCTTCCCCCATTTGAAAGAATTCGACAGTCGGTGATATGGAGATTTGTAATCTAGCTGGACGTATCCAAATATTTTGAGCAGTTTCCCCAAAGGGCCTCAGAATAGACCAAAGAACTACACCTTGAATTTTGTTAGAAAAAAGTGGAGAATTGTCTTAAAAAGTTGAAGCATTCCGAAAAAAAAAATTGTCATATTTGAAAAATTCCAACACTACGAAAAATCTTCTCAACTACAGCCAACAATATTGTCAGAATGTGCAAAAACAAAGGGGACCTTCTCAAACCTTTCGCTTTACTTCCCATGCCTAATAGCATGGAAGTATCGTAATTTTTTTGGTGCCAGTAGGTAATTTATACATTTCTAACCTCGATAATTCTACATGCATGTTAGACATATCTCAAATCATAGATTCCCGTACATATGCCCATAAAACTTAAATTTTACTTCCCATGCCTACGTGGCGAGTAATTAATGTAATTGCGAAAAAAGACATATTTTTTTCGATGTACCTGCATTACGAAAAACCATGTCATTCATTTTGTCGGTCTATCTGACTATCAGCTAAATCTTGGTCCGTCTATAATTTTAAAAAATTGCTCGGATTTGGATGAAATTTTCGCTACTACTGTGCTAAAAACGAAAAAGTTTTTAACAATTTTTCCATTGACGGCGGAGCTACGTGACAAAACCAAAAGGGACAATTGTTTAAGCTCCGTTTTTGACGTTCCAGAGGTTCCTTAACCTTTTTGAGAAAACAACTTGTAAGAATTAAAAATTAGGGGTTGGAGGTTGTAGGCAGTAGGGGAAGATATAGATCAATTTTTTGATGTTAGTATATTTACTCGTATACGCTCCCAACCACTACTCATCTATTAGACATATTGCACACATTATAGATTTCTTTCTTCAGTTGTCCTTAAAACTTAGAATGATAGCGAAGTGTTTTCGATACGCGTCTCTGCTTCTGCTCTCTAGATTCACCGACGGGCGTGCTGGTATCGAAAAGTGTACTTTAATTACTGCTTCGGTGCCATGCTGAGATAGCAGGAGTACGCGGATCGGTTTTTTAAGTTTTTAAGGCAAATGTACGACGAAATCTATTATTTATGAGATAGCGCTAATAGGTGCATATAATTACCGGGGTTGCGAGCGTATTAATACAGGGTGCTTCTTCATCTCGGAAAGTGTAAGAGCAGCTTAAAGGGCAAATTTGCATATTTAGGTAATTAAGAAATTGCTGCTTAGCACGTTTCGAAATTCAAAGCACTTCAGGAGAGAGGCGTAAAAAGTTGAATTTTCTCAAAATTTTCCGAAAATAAGATTATGTTTTTGGATATGATATGACGTGTACAACACGAAAAACTGTCACTCATCTCCGTCGGTTTATCGGTCTGTCTCTCTATTTGTGGGTCTGTAGGTCTTTCTGTCCGGTGATTCTTGGCTCGTCTATGACTTGGAATCACTGGGATTTGGATGAAATTTTCACAAAACGTTACTACTAAGCCAAGCACGAAAAAGCTTCATAGTTTTTGATAGTCAGTCCAGTGGCAGCGAAGTAAAAGGTCAAAAACGAAAGAATAGAAATAGCTCAAAATTATTTGACGTTTCAGAGGAAAAAGGTTTGTAGGGATTACAAATTGGGGGTTGGGGGTTGCAAGGTGTGGAGTGGGTATATCTCAATATTTGACGTTGATGTATTTATATGCCTCCAACCCTAGTAATTCTTCACACTCGCTGACATATTTCACTCATCAAGAGTCAAGAGTCACGTGTCTATAAGTGCGACGTGACATACTTGTACCGAACATGATCATTTATAAACTGATGACAGAGCTGAGTGGGACGTCCAGAGTCAACTTACTTGACGCCATTTTTTTCGTGAAGTGCATGTCCAAAAAAAATATCTCATTTCAAAATTTTTTCTCGATTACAATACTGCCTCGCCCAATTACGAGAAAAAAAAATTAGAAAATGTCAGAGTAGGTAATCGGAACGCATTTTGCTATCGCTCTTTTCAGATACAATTATTCAAAATGATCAAATTTCGATATTCCAAAATTTTACCTAATAAATCTAATACATTGTTCGCAAAACATACAATGCAATCTTGATACAATTAACATAAGACTAATTACCGTACACCAGTATAATTGTCAGATTTAGTTACATAAAATAATTATGTAAAACAGGGTATAACATCATTTCATGACGACTAAATCACGGATATTCAAAATTCGTGGAGAAAATAATTTTCACCACACCAGTGCGCAAATTCTCATAAATTTTGTCTTATTTCGATGTAAATTTTTCGAAAACTGTTAACCTAGTCGGTAGTCGGTATCTGATTGCTTTCCACCTTTTCCTGTTTCTCAATAACTTATGTTCATTCATATAACTAATCCGTTACTAGTCTGCTATTCTAGGCCGCCATTTCAGTTGTATCTATGAGTCATTTGCATTTTCGCGTAGTAAATCTTTAAAATAATAATTACAAATTTATCTCAGATTATCAAACAAAGTTAGCCTCACAATTTATTAATATGAGCCACAATATTGTTTTTAGACGTCTACATAAATTATTTAAAAAAAAACAAATATGTACATTACGCTGTTGTTGAAGTATGATGCACGTATATGAATGATATATCTCTTCTTTGCTTTATTACACACTCATTTTCAGGAAATCAAAGTTTCATGGAATATTTCACGGTTGAAAAATGCGTAAATCAAACATTACAGTGATTGTGTACATACAGTTAGTAGGGTACACCTCATCTCCATACAATGACTGCATGAGGATTAAACCAATCTTGTATATACAAAGTGACTCAAGAACGGTGGGAATATTTCTAAGCTAGAAAGTGTGTTTTTTATACCGAAGCAGTCGCAAGTAGAAGTCTAAATGACGAAACGCCGCGGCTGCTATGAGGATCCCAAAGAAATTTTGTTAATCCGATTTTTGAATTGCCTAACGTTAGTAGAACTGGGAAAAGCTTCCTCTTGTATATTGTTCCACAATCTTGGCACCCTCGGGAGAAAAAGTCGATCATATCTGCCAGTTCTGAATGTACGAAGTTCGACACGGTTAGGATGGATAGATGAAGTCAAGCGGGTATGTCTGGCAGGCACATCGCGCGGCGGCATCATGGCCGAGAGCTTTGAGGAGCAAAGCCTGTTGCTGTAGCGGTAGAAGAGAGCTAGATCTCCAATGGCCCGCCAGTGCGGAAGGGTCCCGAGACTGTCTGTTAGAGAAGAGTCATCGAACAGTCGGACATACCTCCTCTAGACAGCATCGAGCATAAGTAATGTAGTCGGGGTGGCAGCACATCAAACGTGTGATCAATACTCGAGGCTAGATCTTATTTGGTCCTTGCATAGAGTGAGAAGGTCATGAGGAGAAAAGTACTTCTTAGCCCTAAACGGATAGGCTAACTTTCTCCCAGCAGCTGCCGCTATTGACGAGATGTGCCAGATTAAGTACTCGGTGATCTGGACTCCGACCAGTTGAAATGAATGGCTCTTTGGCAGAACTCGGCCATCCATCGAAACCGGACGAGTCCTAGGACGCTTCAAAACTAATTCATTAAATTTTGTACATACAAGAATATTCTTAACAGAAAACGTCAGTGATTTAGAGACTAGGACACCTTGACCTCCGCAAAAGAAAGAGTCTCTGTATATTGGTAGTGGAACACTTTAATAAATGCGCTGGCTGTTTGTTATTTTCGAATGAACTTTCTGCCCCATGATTATTGCCATTTTTTATACATCGTAAATATCGCCTTTTACTTGTCTATTATCTATTTGTTTACGGACATCCATACGAATATCATTATTTATATCTGGTGATATATCATTCAAATTTTGATTGATAAATATCGATAGAAAAAAATTTTGTTAAGTAGATTGACTCTGTACTTCTAGATATAAAATATAGAATTTGATGTGATCGGCAAACTGCAAAACGTCGAAAATTTGGGATTTAAGAAAATCCACAGCGCCACACGGTGATTTGTTCACCTCTAAAGATTATCTGACACTCGTTTTTTTGTTTTACTTCTGGAACTATACTGAAGCCCACAAACCTTTCACTGACCACTTCTACTGGCGGATGAAGTATGGTAAAAAATTTATAAAATGAGATATGTCCTTGGATGTTATATGACATGTACGAAAAACCATGTCACTAATTTCCATAGGTCTGCCTGTCGGCCTGTCTGTCCGCTAATCCCTGACTCCGCTGTAACTTGAAAAGTACCTGTCGGATTTTGATAAAATGTCCACACACTGTCACTAACAAAACATCTTTGTAGTTTTTGAAAATCGGTCTAGCGGCAGCCGAGAAAAGGCCAAAAACGAAAAAAAATAAATCGCTTTAATTTTGATTTTTGATGTTTCAAAGGATCATTTTTGAAAAATTCTTCAGGGGTAAAAAAACTGGAGGATGGGGGTTGTAGGGGGCTAGGGAAGGTATATCTCTTTTTTTTTAATGTCAGTATGCTTATACGCTCTCAAATGCGGTATCTGTACGCACCTAGACATATTTCACACAGTATACATTTCTCCGTACATTTGCCCTTAAAACAATGATGGAGAAATACGTTCAATACGTGTCGTTGCTTCTGCTGTCTGGGATGACCGGCGGGCATGCCGGTCTTGGTAAGTGTTCTACCATTATTGCTGCACTGCCGAGTCTGACATTGTGCGGTTAGGTATCGCAGAGGTGCGTTGTTGCCAGATGGACCACCGGTAAGGAAGAGAAATAATGTCTATGGACTAATTATGTGGGCCTGTCTGACTGACTTGACCCATGTAATTTCTCTGTTATACATGTTCGTAACTAAAGTCTTTCTCAGAGGCTCTAACTTGTGCTGAACATATTCTTTCATTAACTGACAACGGCGTTGCGTGCCAAGTGCAAAGTTAAACTCTTTGACTCCATTTTGTCTCCGAGCATAGTGTAAAAATGAAATTAATGGCTTGGCGTCTTTTATTTCAATTTCCACCTCTTCATCCAAATCGCATTCTGGGAATAGATTACTTAATACATCAATTCTTCAAAGATATTTTTTTAAACTTGTCATTTGAAACCGCTGTATTTAATAATAATAATAATAATAATAATAATAATAATTAAAAGCCTTTATTTTTACCTGGCGGACAATCAGAAAATGCTGTGTTCTTCCATGCCTACCAGAAAGTAATCAGCCGGAGAGATATAATCTTGTGACTGAATCTACTTGATGAACTGTCTCAAGCTTCCTAGAGAAAATCAGTGCGGCACAGGATTAGGTCTAGCCGTGTGGAGTGTGGGGCAGACCTATAAGCGGGTATGGTTTACTGAAAAACTGCTAGAATTGCCAAAATGATGGTCGTTGTGCCATTCCTCCATAGATGGCGCTCATAGCGAGAAAATGCGGAATGAGTTAACGACTACTTAGTGCACAAGTTGACATTATACCGATTTTGTAATGGCACTATACGGATTTTTCACGTAATACCTCTGCCGGACGCCATAGGGATGTTGCGATTATCCGGTGCGTCATGGAGATACCATATATTTCAATAGATTAGTTTGGCTACGGAAGCATGCCGACGAGGGAGGGCTCTTACATAATCCCACCAGTTTATGCTTATCATTTGCAGTGCTAAAAATATAAATTTCTACTAGATATCATTAGTTCAAACTGAGAGATATCAGTTGGTGGCTTGTAGTCTATAAAACAATTTTTTGCTCGAAACTCTCATAACAACAATTTGAACACATGTTTATTGAAATTTAATCACTCGATAAACTATGTTTTCAATCCTATACCAATATTTCAAACATAAAGAACGGTCCATCAGAATATTTTAAAGGATGATGTGATAACATATGACACATAAAGATCAAAATTTGAACAAACAAAATGATTCAGACACATGCGACATGCGATGCAGTTCGAACAAAGAAAGTCGTATTGATTTAGATTATGCGCAACATTTCCGTAAATGTTTTTGCGTGATAATAAACATTTATCACAGATGATCCCATGCTATATTCCAAATTATTTTAATATTGAACGCCCAAGTCTGCCATTTTTTCCATCCTAGACGCTCTTCAGTCGTCACAAAGGCTCTCAGAAGCGCTGCATACGAGGTCTGTAAATTAAGTAATGAGACTGACAACGTATCTTTACGCGTCGGGCTTAGAGGGAAGACAGCGAACATGTGAGCCGCCTTCAGTACAAGTTTCAACTCGCTCGAATCATTTAGTTGTCCGTAACGATTTTAAGTGTGATACAGTTTTTCCTATTGTGTTCTAAAAATGAGTGACATCAATTTCGAGCAACGGTCTGCTATCGGGTCATGCTTCAGACTTGGGTACAGTGCAACGAAAGCTCCTGATAAGCTTCAGCAGGCCTACGTAGATAGTGTAGAAGTTGTAATATTAATATACCATTTTTGCTTAATATACCTGATTAGAAGAAAAAACGCTATCATATTATATAAATAAAATTTAAATTAGATAAATCATTCAACCTATGTGATGTTATTTCATTTACCAAAATCCTCCCAATACGTAATAAAATATATAGTGCTTTTCAAAGAGGTACCACCCCCCAGCTTATTATTATAAGGGGTCAAGCTGGCGAGGTGAAATTGACGTAAAAATAACAGTTGAAAGTTCCAGGATTGCGGCATTTTGATTTTGAGCCTATTAATACACTCCCAACCCCGGTAATTTTACGCACCTATTAGACATATTTCACATATTATAGATTTACTTGATCCATTTAATTTGTCTGCTATACACGTCAGTAACTTACTCTTTCCTCATTATGATCTAACTTCTGCTGAGCATATTCCTTTATGAATGACGAAAGCGTTGCGTGAGTAGTGCAGAGTCAACCTACTTGACGCGATTTGTTTCATGAATGAGAAGAGACAAAATTTGCTTTCCGAAGCTTAAGTGTATGTACAAAGGGAATAGGTTCTAGCGTGGCATTAAAAATTTTGTACGCTGTGTCCCGTCTTCTGCCATAAAGGCTTCCATCAGATATGAAGAAAATAACCTTCATTTCCCTGACGTCTACAGTTGAACATGAAATGTATAAGACTGAATCCTTTATGAATTAGTTAACTAGGTTGCAGCACTCATTTTTCTTTTTTCTAGATTATCTTGGGACTGCTGACCAATTTTTCCAGTTTGGCTCCTAGTATGAGCTTGGGCTTCTCAGCAGTTGCAATCCCTGTACTAAGAGGTTCCCTCACCTCAAATGGAATATCATGGTTCGGTAAGTGAATATCGAGAGAATTAAATACGAATGCAGCTGGTACGAGTACACATAGATTTCTATTTTGCAAATGTAATATGATTCTCTATTAAGGTTGGGTGTATATACAGGGTGTAAACGTTATGGTAGTCATTACTGAAATGGGTAATAGGGGTGGTCAAAACAAGTCAAAAAGTTCATATGATCCATGGTCCACAGGTCAACAGATTTTTATCTAAATGGCTTTATAGTTTACAACTTTAAGTGCTTTACATCGACCACAATCTTAACAATTTTTATAATCTAATCTAAAACGTTTTTAAATTGGGTAATTAACAAATAAATGGCATTAAGTTTTTCTAAGTTGAGCCACTCTTATCGAACCGGCAATCGATCGCAAACGGTAACAGAGGTTAGTTATGGTTCGCGTACTTCGTCGTGTTTATTTACAATGTTCTCGAATTAAGAGTTCGCCGACATGTTGTTAGTTTACGGTGAAGCTCTTCAGAATTCAAACCTTGCAGCTCAAATTTATCGCGACAGATTGCGCCAACGGGTACATCCAGACAGAAGGACATTTGTGCAAGTGTACCAAAGACTTCGAGATACAGTAAGTGTTCAGCCCACTAATATTCGAACTCGTACAAGACATGTTACTGAAGAGCAGGAGGAACAAATTTTAAATATCGTGGAAATCAATGCAGATATCAGCACTCGGGAATTAGGCCGCCGCGTAAGACTATCGCATACCATAGTCCATAGAATCCTACGGGAAAATTTACTTTATCCCTACCATGTACAACGAGTGCAGGCCATGTTACCAGAAGACTATACTCGCAGACTAACATTCTGTCAGTGGTTTTTACACAAAAACATTGAAAATCAGGATTTTTTTTGAAAACATTCTAGCGACGGACGAATGTACTTTTACGCGAGAAGGGATATTAAATTTCCATAATACTCACACGTAGGCCCAAGAAAATCCTCATACCATTCGTGAAGGTCATTTCAAACAACGTTTTAAAATAAATATTTGGCCGGGTATTCTTGACGATCAGGTAATTGGCCCTTTCGAGTTACCCCCAAAGTTGTTAGCAGAAGGATACCTTAGCTTTCTAGCCAATAACCTACCAGAACTTTTGGAACAGACCTTAGACAACATGCCACTACAACGGAGACAGCATTTGTGGTTTCCCCACACATTTTTAGAGGCGTCATTCAGTATTTGAATGAACATTATCCAAATCGCTGGATCGGTCTAAATGCTCCTGATCCTCGAAAATGGCCAGCATGATCTCCTGACCTCAATCCGATGGATTTCTGGTATTGGGGAGAACTTAAAGGGAGGACTTATGGGACTGGTCCAATAACAACTGAAGCACAAATTCGCGAAAAAATTTTTAATGCAGCTAAAATAATAAATGGACAACTTCGAGGACCTAGAGTAAGAAGAAACTGGGTTGCTCGTAATGAAGCTTGTGTGGAAAGTGGAGGACGACATTTTGAACACCTTTAAATACAAAAAAGGTGCACTGTGGGTTTTAAAAAGATAAACAATGTATGTATCAAAATTGTTTTCCCTGTTTATAAGTGGATTTTTTTAATACGTTCAATAAACTTTCACACACCAGGTGAAGCGCTGAGACAGTTAGTGGTAAGTCCGTTTTTTTTACTTGTTTGCATATTACGAGTACATTATCAAATGATGAAATAATACCTAAGAGCCAAAAATAACAAACTCTATCTTTATTTACACTGCGTTCCGTCGTAATTTGCATTTGGCATTGCGGCGTTGTCAGATTTTATTTTACTTTAAAGTCGCTTTTCCTAAAAAAATGCCGTTTTGACCCCCATGTTGTATGAAACTTTTTGCTTCCTTTAACCCCCTCTATCACCGATTAAAATAATGACTATCATAACGTTTACATCCTGTATACCTTCATATTAAAATATTGTTAACGCTGGCATGTTTGTCCATACACCACTTTCAGTTGATGCGCAGGCTCCTAGAGTATGCTTCGCTGCCAGCCCCATCATTTTTCTTAGATCTGTCAGTGAACATGTTAGTAACACCTTCCTCGGTCTGGCTTTCAGAAGCTGTTGTAATATCAAAGATGAACTGCGGAGAGATATTATCTATGTCAGCTTGCAAAAGTGGCATGTCAGTAATTCCCGTATACCTTCTCTTGTACCATCTTCAGGATATAATTTCTGGATGATTAAAGATGAAATTATAGGCAAAACATACTCTTACTTTTAGGTTGGCCTGATTTGAAATATTATAAATGTTCTTCAGATTCAAGAATGTTAAACCGCCATTTCATCCCCTAGGGGTATAATTTCCAAAATTTCTTTGTACCTTATCATTTAAAAAGAACCAAATGAAAAAAACATTTTTGTATCCCTACGTTGAAGAGTAATAGTCACTTGTACTCCCTATTCCAACCACTAAAGTATTATTTTCTCAATAAAAGGTAGCCTAAGCGAAACATACAAATACATTTGCATTTATAATACACTATTATATAAGAGATAGGTTTTCCACAATCTTGAAAAATTTTCACGGATGCAGAGTATTATTTATTATAAAAGCTCAGTATTTATGTGATTATATGTATATATACATTTCAAATTTCAATGTTTATTGCTGAATGTATTTAATCAAACCCAGTATTTGTTCAAGACACAAAAGAATTATATTTTATCAACTAAAGCTCAAAATTTGGAAGACTACTTGCATAATCCTAAACTAGTTCAGCACGTCAGAATCAGACATTGTAAAATAATTAAAATCATTTATGACCTTTTATGAACCTTATTGATACAAAAATTATGAACCAATTATAAGATTAATTTTTATGTCACTTGGAAAAAATTCTGTTTATAAGGTTAAACAACATAATTTGAACCTGTCAAGTAAAGCTTACTAACCTTGTCAGATCTCCATATCTTTGGTAAAGATAAATTTTATTGACGTTTTTAATAATAGACTGGGATTAAAGATGCTTTTTGCTGGCTTATCCACACTTTATTTCATGGCAGTTTTGAGCAAATATGGCAGCATTTAATTGAGGCATCGATCTTATCCGATTTAGGCTGGAAAATCCCACCAGACATTCGTACAATCAAGGAAGAAATTAATCTCCGCATTATCGGAATTCCGCCATATTTAATGCAAAATAGTATGCATATTTTCGACTGGTGAAAGTCGTTTTCCCTTTTGGGTTTTCATGTGTATTAGAGAGAAAATCGTGTTAGAGAGAGTGCGCCATATACGCGTCGTTACCACGTTGCCTAGCAACCACAATGGAGGAGGAGTTACAGCCGCGGTCCGCGCCCTTCCCTACTATCGTTGACAGGCAACGTGGTGACGACGCTTATTTGGCGCACTCCGTCTAACACGCTTCTATCCCTCTCTCTCCCTCTCTCTTTCTCTGTCTCGCTCGTCTTTGGGCAACTCTGTATAAGTTTATCCTATATACTTTGTGATTCAATGATGACGATGATGACATAACAATTTGAAGAAAAAACTGTGCTTTAGATTTAACTCGATACTTGAATTTTGGAACTTTCTGAAGTATCGATTTCTTTTTTATTTTTCAGCTAGTATAGCGTCCCTAGCAACCCCATTTGGTTGTTTCTTAACTGGTCCACTAGCTGATCGTTTGGGCCGGACAAAAGCCTTGTTGTTCGTAAATGCGGCATCATTTTTAGGGTGGATAATATTGGCCCTAGCATTCTATTCGTCAAATAACTACCCGTTGTTGATAACTGGAAGAATATTGACTGGATTTTCCACCGGTAAGTGAATGGTATGTTTTTGGCGCGGTGGAGTGAATCTAGACATTGACCTGAAATTCTCTTGTACAGCTCTATAGCCTCAACCATTAAAGTCTATCCATCTGAATTGAGAGTAAATGTATAAAAATGGTTCTGGCATCATATCTCGACCTCTATCGGAAGCCACACATCCATAAATTCTACTTGTTTTGTTGCATGCGTAATACAAGGAGTACCGTAGAAGAATTTTGAATTTTCAGTATGTAGTCGGTCGATAGCTGCGTTATTTCGGAAGATACATGAACAAGTTAATTACAAAAATTTTAGGCAGCAATACGCTCCTCACTTGGTAAATATACAGCTCTCGACAGGGCCATATAATCTGAGACTCCTCCTCAAAGCTTCGACTTTGACAGCTTGTAAATCAGCCACTTCTGCAGATAGAGAGTGGCAACCCTTTCAACAACATGAGCTTCATATACCATAGCTTCTCGCAATTAAAATGTTTTTTACAGAATGTTTCAAATGCAAAATGTACTGTTTCTGAATAAATTATTATGATTACGATTTTGAGTTATCCTATACTAAGTGACATAAATCCGAACACCCAGTTTAAATGGTTTTATTTTAATAAAATTTTGTATAAGTACTTAATGAAGCATAATAAGTAAATGATAAAAATTTCAAAATGATTGCACTGCTTTAAAGCCCTTTGACCTTTAATAATGTGTGGATGCACCCTGATGTGCTACGCATTCTCCAACGCGCCTAGGCATGCTTCTGATCAGGTGGTCAATGTCCTCCTGTGGTATCTCATTACAGGCAACCACCAACTCCTCTCGAAGTGCTTCTAGAGTCTGAGGAGGACGTTGCAAATTGAGCAATCTCCTACCCATCATATCCCACACGTGCTCAATTGGGGATAAGTCGGGAGATCTTGGTGACCATGGTAACAATGTGACATCATTATATTGAAAGAAGTCTATTGTGACTCTTGCAACATGTGGTCGGGCATTATCTTGTTGGAAAGTTGGATCTGCCAGGGTTTCAAGATAGGGTAAAAGATGGGGTTCTAGAACTTCGTGGATATAACGCTGCGCGTTCATGTTACCTCTGATGAAGACTAAAGGTGACCTGGAACCATAAGCTATAGCACCCCAAACCATAACTCCAACAGTGTGATGAACATGTCTTTCAACAAAAAACTGTGGATTCCTCCTTTCACCACGTCGCCTTCTAACCCTGGCACGACCATCGTGCATGCCTAAACAAAATCGAGACTCGTCACTAAAGACAATACTGTTCCATTCCTGATTCCAGAGTGACCGTTGTCTGCACCACTCAAGGCGATTACGTCGGTGTTCTCGAGTTAAAGGGAGGACCCAGTGTGGCCGGTATGAAAACAAGCCAAAACTTCTCATTCGTCGGTAAACACTTCGCATGCCAAAGGTCTTCCGTGTTCTACAAACCATTCATTTGCAATGGACCTGGTAGTGGAGAAATGGTCCCTTAAGGCCAATAATCTTAGGCGGCGATCTTCACGGTCTGTTGTTCTACGGCGGCGTCCAGTGCCCCTTGCTCTTTGCGTACGGCCTTCTCGAAGCCATGCCTGACAACACCTAACCACAGTGTCTACACTTCTTTGCACTCTAACTGTAATTGCCCGAAAAGAAAATCCAGCTTCCCGAAGTCCCACTATAGGGCCCCTATCAAACTCACTAAGTTGACGAAATCGTACAGGTCTCCGTACTCTAGGCATCGTAACCGATCGTAAAGGATGTCAAGAACCAAAATCCACCAACGTTGATTCTTTACTGCGGCTGAAATATTCATTTTTAGAGCGTTAGTGAATTAAAAAAAAAGCAGTATGAAAACCAGAATGTCCAACTGATAAGGCTGAAAAATTTTTAACTTGTTATTTACAGTAAGATAAATACATTCACCAACTTTTATTAAAATAAAACCATTTAAACTGGGTGTTCGGATTTATATATCACTTAGTATATTTATAAGCTGTCGGTATAGCCCTGTGTGGGCCACATTGCTACATTATTGAGTTTGCACCTTTACTGAAATTACAATTCAAAATAATGTGGGAAGGAAGATGTTTAGTATACTAAGTGACATATAAATCCGAACACCCAGTTTAAATGGTTTTATTTTAATAAAAGTTGGTGAATGTATTTATCTTACTGTAAGTAACAAGTGAAAAAATTTTCAGCCTTATCAGTTGGACATTCCGGTTTTTATACTGCTTTTATTTAATTCACTAACGCCCTAAAAATGAATATTTCAGCAGCAGTAAAGAATCAACGTTGGCGGATTTTGGTTCTTGACATCCTTTACGATCGGTTACGATGCCTAGAGTACGGAGACCTGTACGATTTCGTCAACTTAGTGAGTTTGATAGGGGCCGTATAGTGGGACTTCGGGAAGCTGGACTTTCTTTTCGGGCAATTGCAGTTAGAGTGCAAAGAAGTGTAGACATTGTGGTTAGGTGTTATCAGGCATGGCTTCGAGAAGGCCGTACGCAAAGAGCAAGGGGCACTGGACGCCGCCGTAGAACAACAGACCGTGAAGATCGCCGCCTAAGATTATTGGCCTTAAGGGACCGTTTCTCCACTAACAAGGTCCATTGCAAATGAATGGTTTGCAGAACACGGAAGACCTATTGGCATGCGAAGTGTTTACCGACGAATGAGAAGTTTTGGCTTGTTTTCATACCGGCCACACTGGGTCCTCCCTTTAACTCGAGAACACCGACGTAATCGCCTTGAGTGGTGCAGACAACAGTCACTCTGGGATCAGGAATGGAACAGTATTGTCTTTAGTGACGAGTCTCGATTTTGTTTAGGCATGCACGATGGTCGTGCCAGGGTTAGAAGGCGACGTGGTGAAAGGAGGAGTCCACAGTTTTTTGTTGAAAGACATGTTCATCACATTGTTAGAGTTATGGTTTGGGGTGCTATAGCTTATGGTTCCAGGTCACCTTTAATCTTCATCAGAGATAACATGAACGCGCAGCGTTATATCCACGAAGTTCTAGAACCCCATCTTTTACCCTATCTTGACACCCTGGCAGATCCAACTTTCCAACAAGATAATGCCCGACCACATGTTGCAAGAGTCACAATAGACTTCATTCAACATAATGATGTCACATTGTTACCATGGCCACCAAGATCTCCCGACTTATCCCCAATTGAGCACGTGTGGGATACGATGGGTAGGAGATTGCTCAATTTGCAACGTCCTCCTCAGACTCTAGAAGCACTTCGAGAGGAGTTGGTGGTTGCCTGGAATGAGATACCACAGGAGGACATTGACCACCTGATCAGAAGCATGCCTAGGCGCGTTGGAGAATGCGTAGCACATCAGGGTGCATCCACACATTATTAAAGGTCAAAGGACTTTAAAGCAGTGCAATCATTTTGAAATGTTTATCATTTGCTTATTATGCTTCACTAAGTACTTATACAAAATTTTATTAAAATAAAACCATTTAAACTGGGTGTTCGGATTTATATGTCACTTAGTATAGATGAAAGTCAATTTCAGTGAAGGCTTGCACGCATCATAATTACTCCTTTGACGGGAGATTTAACGTTGGAATCTTGGACCGCAAGTTTTGCCTTTTCTCGTTCGTAGAAAAAGTGAAAATTTTCAGAATGCAATTTTTGGGCAATATGTTGACATTTTCTTGAAGAAGATTTTTTTAAATACCCATAACGTAGAGTCTTATTTCTTTGACGATATGTATCATAATTTTCTTGAATTCCCTCGTACCTACGTAAAATATATATGGACTTATTTCAGATGTTATCAGAGCAATTTTGTTATATAACCTTATATAGAGAAATTTTTTATGCGAGGATAACGCAACAAAAAGGTGTAAACAATCACAGATTATATTTTGCTGGGAGAAAATATTACATTTGTCTTATCACTTTCTGTACAAAATGAAGTTCAAGGAGGTCAGGTCAAACAAGTTCCTTGCAAAATCTCAAGCATTTTTTCCAACAGGAACGGATAAACAGCCATTGGGAAATAATGTACCATTTTAAATCAGTTACAAAGGCTAAGGACCAGCAAACAAAAATTCCGATCGTATTTTTGAATCATGTGAAATTTTCTCGGTATTCAGTCTTGAATTAAATTCTGAATGTTGATACTGTGGCCACAGAGGCGCATCATAGACTTCTTTAAATTATTTCACATAAGGTGGGCCATTTTTCGCCAAGATTTTAGAAAGTTACACAGGCAAGGCCTGCACCTTCCCAGACAAACTGAAAATTTGCTCATGTCGAGCCCATCCCAAAAAAGGGATCTAAGAGCGACCCTTACAACCGCAGACCTACAGCTCTGCTTTTTCTTCTTTTAAGTAAGGTGATGGAGAGGTACATAAATCGCGAGCTCCTGGACAACCTCGAACGTCACGGCTTGATCAGAGTCATGCAGTATGGTTTCCGGTACCAGCGATCCACAGTGGAGTAAACTCATCCAGTCTTATGGTGAGGCTCATGTCGCTACTCTTGATATCACGAAAACGTTCGATCAGCTGTGGCACGCTGCCCTCTTATGCAAACTTCCATCCTATGGCCTCCCAAAGAAGCTTTGCAGATGGGTGAAGAACTCTCTCTCTCTCTCTGGCCGCAAGATATCCGTCGTAATTGACTGGTTCTCCTCTTCATCCCACAACGACAACGCGTCAGGAATCGGTCTCGGCTCCGACACTGTTCCTGTTACGCATCAAAGACCTCTTTTCCTGTACGATAAATCGAAACCACAGTTTTGCTGATGACAAAAGAAGTCTTCCTCTCTGACTGGAGGTTACGATGGATTTGCCGAGTTCTGCCAAAGAGCCATTCAGGTCGGCTGGTCGGCTATTTGCTTAGGGCTAAGAAGTAGTTTCTTCCACATGACTTCCTGACTATTGTATTGCTCACACGTTTGGGGTGCTGCCGCTCCGACTACATTGTTCATGGTCGATGCTATCCAGAAGAGTTCTGTCAGATCGACGACTTTTCTCTAACAGACAGTCTCGGGACCCTATCGCATCGGCTGGTACCAAAGCTCTCGTCCATGATGCCGCCACCCGATGTGCTTGCCTGACAGGCTTGCCTCCCTTCCTAACACCATTTCTACTAACCCCTAAAAATCGGCTTAACAAAGTTTCTTTGGGATCCTCATATCAGTCTGGAATTTAGGCTTCTGCCTGCGCGGGTGCTTCGGTTCAAAAAGATTTTTCGAAAGTAATTCAGAAAAAATCTACATTGGTATTTTCAATTTTATAGAACATTGTTATTTTATAACTTTAAGCATAGCTATGTAGTGATAAGAGCTATTAACTATTTCAGGATTAAGCAGTGCGCCGGCAACTATATACATGGCGGAAGTTTCAAGCTTAGAATTGCGAGGTGTTTTTACAACATGGGCATCTATTTCTTTCGCTTTAGGCGTGTTGATAATCTACTTTTTGGCGTTTATATTGAAGGTGAGTCTATTTTGTTTACAGTCTACTTATTGTCAAAAATATGTCTATGTTGTCCACTTTATACATGCACCGCGGGTGCTATAGGAATATGATGGAATACAGTCGATATTAGGTATTGTGTCTGTTTACAATTTTTGTTACGATACAGGTCTGAGTAATGAAGATATTTGGCCATACACTAATTTTTTGGGGGTACCGGGTATGCCCTTCTGCAAAATCATGAGCATCTTCATTACTCCCATACCTGCAGTTATGCTTGCTAACAAATCCATTTAGATAAAATGTGCATTCATCACCGAAGAAGATATTCTTTACATGAATGGTATTATCAATAATCGCTGCAGTCATTTGTTCACAAAACTCAAATCGCCTATCGAAATCACCTTCGGTTAACTCTTGCAATATTTTCATTTGAATGGATGAAATCTATGGAGTTTAGTAACTGTGTGTACAGAGCCTAATGAAATATGTACCAGTCGCGGCAACAATTTTTCGTAATGAAGTATTAGGACTTATTCTAAAATGTCCAAAAGCTTCAACTTGATCGGCTTCATCCAAAACTCTCCGACGATCACGTTTTTTATTTGCAACAGATACAGCTTGAGTAAATTTAGTAACAAGTTCCAAAGCATACTTGTGCGAAGTTATCTTTCCAGGATGTCTGGCGTTAAACGTGACGGCAGTTTGCCGAGCATATTGATTTTGGGCACCATAAATTAGAATCATTTCCATTCTTCCGGCTAGTGTGTTAGCCATTTTGGAAGTAAAAAGATTGTTACAAAGGTAACTGACAGCAAATTGAATTCTTTTTTTACATTAGCAACAAATAACTAAACAGGTATAACAATAAATACAGTTCGCCCAGGATATCTGTGTTGTTGGAAAGAATGCGGAAAAATTCGGGTTGTTATTTGGTTATTGCCACGTCTGTTTATGTTGGTGGTTTCCGTTTTAAATTATAAATGAATTGTAGCAACATTTTGAACACTTTCTGAAATAAAAAGTGACATTCTCGTGTGTTTTTATTTTCTATCTGAACAAATTAAGGTAAATAAAGACTTTTCTAATTTTCTCGAAAACGAATCGATTGATTTTGAAAATCAAACTTCAAAATAAACGACTTTGAATCACCTTTCAAACAAGCTGTTACTCGATATCCCTTGTCATTTAAAATTTTTAAGGGAATGATGCTGGGAGGGGCGTGTTTTCTTTCAATCAGTGATTTTTTATAAATCCGTAGTGGGAAGTAACAATTGAATAAAACAGTGCGCTGTGTTAGTAACCGCCGCGACACTTGATTGCAAGTTATGCTGACAGACTAGACAGTCAATCACATTTATACATACAGTGTGTAAGAGGCTATGAGCTCCCGCATGGATATCATGTAAAATTCAGCAAATTTATATATGTAATTTCCAGAATGGATAAGAAAAAGTGGATGCGAAACTAATTTCTAGCTTTGAATCTCAATTAAGTGTATTTGAGACAAGAACCCAATGTAATTATCATCAACACATATAACTTACAGCTTAGACCTCCAGTAATGCCATCTCAGAAGCAGATTTTACATCACATCAGAGCCAAAGTGTCATGACGTTTAGGCAACCCGTACAACTAAGTACCAAGTCAACGTCTTGGCGAAAAACCTACATAATGTCAAAAAAAAACAGCATAATGTCAAAAAAATCGGCATAATTTCACTTTTCAAGATACGTGATACCCGTGATTGCTAGCCAACTTGTATGCTGTATGATTGAAACTTTATTTGGATAAGCACTTTTTGGGTTCAATCGTGCAGCCCCGCACGGGTATCACGTATCTTGACAAGTGACATTATGCCGATTTTTTTTGACATTACACTGTTTTTTTTTTGACATTTTGTAGGTTAGTCTACAAGATGTTAACTTAGAACTTAGTTGTACGTGTTGCCTAAACGTCACGAGGCTTGTTATCAATCTTTGGCTTTGATGTGATGTAAAATCTGCTTCTGAGATGGCATTACTGGAGGTCTAAGCTGTAAGTTGTATGTGTTGATGATAATTACATTGGGTTCTTGTCTCAAATACACTTAATTGAGATTCAAAGCTAGAATTAGTTGCGCATCCATTTTTTCTTATCCATTCTGGAAATTACATATACAAATCTGCTGAATTTCAAAAATGAGAGAGATAAGAAATAATTATATTCACTGTACACTGTCGAATTACAAGCCATATTATACATGCTAACAGTAATTACACAAAACCCGGGCGCGGTGATGATTTCCCGTGATTCTCCTCAGTTTTTCGTAATTTATAGCTTTGAACATAACCTCTCTTCAGAAAGCACAACATATAAATAACCCGTCATATTCGGCATATTCAGTAATGATTTTCTCACACAGCAAATATCACTGATTTTATACACATGCAGACCAATACACATAATCACCCCGATGCGATCTTGCTATTCAAACAACTTCCTTCTCAGAGATACGAGTAGTGATGTAAAATAATTAAGTAACGCTTACAAAATAATCGTTACAAATGAGTAACTAAATGTAACGAGTCCTACTTTTTGAAAAGACTCGTTACTTTTTATTTGAATTCGTTACTTTGAATGCGATACGGTCTTTTTCTATGTATACTTTTTAATTACTGTTAGTTACTACACTATACATTACTTTAGATACAAACGTTACTGGGATCTAATGTAGCCAGTACTGCCAGCGCCAGCAGCAAGTGACTTGGTTCTTGGATGTAAACTGGGTGGAAATGAAATGATGCGAATATCGTTAGGCTTAGGCAACTTTAGATACTCTTCTATCAAACGAGTTGCGGAGTGCGTAGCTTTAGGTTGGCAATGTTTGTGTATACCTGTACACTTTTCATTTGACTTTGAGAGCTAGCGGTTGGCGGGTTGTTACTGGTTTGGACGTTGCCGTACAAGCTCGAGCAATAATATAATTATTATTTCTACAAAAATATGGAATCATCCGCGTCCGGTTCAGGAGAATCGCAAACTCAAAAAAGAAGTGTTATTTTGATGCATTTCACCAATATATCGGAAGCTAATGCAAAGTCTAATCTTTGTAAAAATATTTATTCGCATAAAAATGGAAACATTAGCAATTTAAGGAAGCATTTGAAAACTAAACATCCGACTCTTTCATTGGAAGGAGAAAGGGCAAAATGGCGGGTGGAAGACGTAAATATGCCTAGGTGCAAAAAGAACTTAGTTTCAGGTATGTTTTATTATTATAAGTATTTTGTTGAACACCATTTACAGTGGAGTAACCAGACTGTTAAGTAGGGCAGGGGAGTAACCAGACTGTTAGGGCAGGAGACGCTACTCAACTAAAGTAAAGAGTGAGGAGAGTGGTTCCTCCACGGTCCCCATCTGGTTATGCCACTTGTTAAATACTATTTACAGCGTACAGCCGACGAACCAACTACGAGTTTAAAATATAAGTACCTTCTACGTATCAAATATCAAAAAAATTAATAGGCAAGGCATTAGACAAAAAATAATAATTGGATCAATCCCAAAGTAATAATTTGATATAATATATAAAATGTAGGTTCTAAACGAAATGTCCAAATAGTAACTAAACGAAATGTCCAAATAGTAACTAAACTAACGAGTCCAAAGTTCGAAAGTAACGAGTCCTTACAAGTCCTAAAAAGTAACGAAACTTTGCATCACTAGATACGAGTAAAAACTACAGACCCGGATCACGCAGCCTCACAAAGTTATGCAACCAATAATGCGTAGTTTAGTCGACTGATTCCTCCACAGATGGACGTTCACAACGATCCTAATGAGCAAACGTGGAATGACTGTTTGCGCCTTAAAAACTACCTAGTCTGCAAGTTGACATCTTATAGGTTTTTCTTGACGTTTTGTAGGTTTTTTACATGATACCGTCCATTCATAGAGTTCTAAATCTGCTATCAACAATTCTCTTTAAATCCTTTTTAAGAGTTGGAAATGGAGTCTTAGAATGGCTAAACCTGTTAATGCCTTTGAGAATAAGCAGATTGAATGACGTCCGCAATTTTTGTCGTCGGAAATAAAAACTATGTATCTGTTAAATATATTATGTATCCTTGATTGACAATAGAATCTTAACTGATTCGGTTTTGTCACCTATTTTTCCATATCAAGGTTATTTAAGGTTTTTGTAAATTCTTTTTTTAATAATAATTTTCAGCCATACCTTATAAAGAAAGTCTAAAAATATGTGACACGGTTTAAAAGCCTTTTTTAGCTATTTTCCATATTTCTTCAATTCAATAAGAAAATAGCGGTCCGATTATGAGCACTTTTCTCTATCCAATTACTACTCTAACTGGGGGGCTTAATGGCTTCTTACAGCCCTCCCCAACATTTCACAAAAAAATATAAACAAACTTAACAGTTACGTTACAGACTATGCCGAAACTGACGTTGTAATGAAGGTTTTTTTTTCAGGACGCCATGGGTCTAATTTGTCTGATCACAGCCGCTCTACCATGCCTGGGCATTCTCTTCACGATTTTCTTAATTCCCGAGTCGCCGTCATGGCTTGTAGGCAAAAATAGAATCGAGGAAGCCTCAGACAATCTATGCAAAGTATTCGGCACCAGCATGTATTCCCAAGAAGTACAAAACGAGCTTGACGCTCTTATAAAGTTGAAAAGCATCAAGCTGGACAGCGAAAAGAAGTCCCTAGCTATGCAGTTCGTTAGAAAACTCAAGTACCTCTTCTCTTCAAGGACCTTGAAACCAATGGCTCTAGTAGTGACTCTGTTTTTCTTCCAACAGCTGTCCGGAACTTTCGTTCTGTTGTTCTATGCAATTGATATAGTAAAGACTGCTGGTATAACGTTCGAGCCTTACTTCACAATAGTCCTTATAGGTGTTATAAGGCTCATAGCGGCAGTATTGACGAGCATCATTTGCAAAAAGGTCGGAAAACGGCCTTTATCCTTACTATCCGGTAGTGGTATGACGATATGCCTTCTAAGCTTGGGAGCCTACAATTTCTTCCAGGAAAATGGTACTATTCCTCAATTGCCTGTTATACCATTGACTTTATTCATAGCTTACTTCGTCTGTAATGCTCTTGGGTTCCTGCCAGTTCCATTTGCTTTGGCTGCGGAGCTGTTTCCTACAAAGATACGCGGCACTGCTACTGGTTTCATCTCAGGTTTGTAATTTGTTTGTTTCAGATTTATTTAGCATTGATGCTACAGTATCTATAATATCCATATTACACAGTATATCACATAATATCGTCTTCAAGACTACATATTTTTATACAAAATTTTACTACTATGAATTCTGGTTTTCGATGAGTTATTTTTTCAATTTCCCCCTTGAATATTTTCAAACTGGCACACAACTTGATACCAATCCCTTTGAAATACTGATTTGATCGTTATATTGCTACTGTAATTTTGTAAATGAAAGTCTATTCTCCCTCTAATTGAATAACTGTGGTACTCATTGTTCAATGCACAAAAATTTTCTAAGTGATTTGGTAGCAGATGATTTTTTAACTTGAATATGAAAACGAAAACCAAGTAGGTTATGAATTTTTTTGTATTTGACCGTTGTAGCTCTTTCAGCATAAAATTTATTCTAGTATATTTATGATTCTCATAGCTTTATTTTGTATTATATATTTTCAATTTCTCGTTTGCAGTGAGCAAAATAGTCTATCAATATAATAGATGAGGAAGAATGATAATGATGTACACATTTTTTTTTAGAATAAACGTTTAGGCTATGCGAAACCCTTAAAAGTAATTTATCTTCTTGGACATTTTTGAAACAATATATTCATAGTGCCCTTCAAATTTTAATTTACTATCAACGTATGTGCCCAAATATTTAAATAATTCGATTGACCAGATTTATCATATTTTCATCTAAAGATTTTCCTATTAGTATATATTTTGTTTTATTTGTTGAATTTGAGTTTATTCACATTTAACCAATTTATTACGTTTTTCATATCATTATTGCAGTTTCAATGTCTCTATTTAGATATATATATATATATATATATATCTTGAATTTCTTCGGGCAGAAGGCAGACTGCATAAGCACACTCTTATAACTTAAACTCGAGCTTTCGAAGGACTATGCCCTCTTCGTCGGCAGCTGGAAACAATTTTTGAAGAATAGCAACAATAAACAATTAGGCGGAAAAAATTACATTCTACAGTCGGCCTGCACGTGTTGAACAACGTCAAGGAAAAAGAAAATAAATCTCGAATGATTTTTCAGTAGTTGATAGTTTTTCAAGTTCTTCCGAATCAATCAGTGTTTAATGAAAAATAATTTTCAAAATCATAGCTATGATTATTTATTAATAAAAGAATTCTGTCCTAATCGAATCTCATCAGTCCAGTTTTTTATTCGTCGACTATGGGTTCCCTTCACTTTCGTTTAAGAACAATTTCAGCAACAATCTCGCCGACTTAGTAAGTAATCATATATTTTTTCCTCCTAATTGCTTATTGTTGCTATTCTTCAAAAATTGTGTCCAGCTCCAGACGAAGAGGGCATAGACCTTCGAAAGCTCGAGTTTAAGTTGCTTATGCAATACTTTGCCTTCTAACCAAAGAAATTCAAGGATATCTTCTCCTAACAGTTAAGGCTATTTAACTATGAATACTATATATATATATATATTTAGAAAGATAACTGGCATAATCCGCAAAAAAAGATAGTGGATTCGAGCGGAAAATAGGATAGGTAACCCGAGCAATACATATTTCTGCTTGTTGGCTTCATCATGCCCGAAATGAATGCACATATGCAACCAAAAAAGTAGATACACATGCCATACATCCGTATACGGGTGTAACCTGAGGAAACGAAGATGGAGACGGAAAAAATTACACACGAAGTCCTCAACAAGAGTCTTCTAGCCATTTTATACTACAATGTGTAGGTTGGCTCTTGTTGGGGACTTCGTGTGTCATTTTTTACCCCTTTCCATTTTTCGTTTCCTCAGGTTACACCCGTATCCGGATGTATGGGCATGTGGTTGCATATGTGCATTCATTTCGGGCCTGATGACAAGCAGAAATACGTATTGCTCGAGTTACCTATCCTATTTTCTGCTCAAATACATTTTCCTTCTTTTTACGGATTATGCCCATTATTTTTCTAATTTTTGTTATATACTTATCTCCGCATGATTATTTTTCTCTCTCTATATATATACAGGGTGTCCGCAAAGTTGGGGTTTTCCTTTTCAGAAACAACTACCCTTGAAATAACAAAGGTAATGTGTAGTGAAACGAGGGCGACCAAGTAAAAAAAAATAAAGGAAAAAGTACACACTCTCCAGTTGACGAGAAGGGCTAAGTACGTCTCTGCCCGAAATTATACCGCTCCAACAGAAAATGAAATCAGCTGATGCGCTACCGAGCAGACGCACATGCCAGCCCAAACATTCACCGAAAATGTTTGTTCAAAATGTGCCCGACGGACAGCGTGCGGATTTTCTACTGACCAAACATGAGTGTTGCGAAAGTTATTCATCCCATTACGCGTGAATGTAGATTCGTCTGTCACCAATATGCTCTTCAAAAAGACCGGATTATTGTCATGTTGATGCAACAACCACTCACAAAACCGAACTCTTGCTGGAAAATCGTCAGGTTGAAGGGCTTGTACACGTTGGACGTGAAACGGATACAGCCCCTCTTCACGCAGCGTTTGCCACACTTTAGTTTTTGATACTTGCACTTCTCTAGCCACGTCTCTAGTGCTTGTTGAGGGATTCTCGTCTACGCGATTACCTCTACAGGCGTGACCGTAAGCGTCGGTTGAAGGTTGCATACTGACCTGACACACTGACCCCGACCCAGTCCTGTCGTCGGGTTGAGCCAGTGACATCGTACCACTCCGTGATGTCGCGGCTACAGAACGGTATTCAGATATTTTTGATGTTGCAGAGCCCTTTATCTCGGTTCCCTTAAGACATTGGTGTATATGGTACTAAGAAAAATTGCTTATGTTTTCAAGATCTACACGTCGTGTAAAGGAAAACCCCAACTTTGCGGACACCCTGTATATTTATAAAGGGTGTTAATAAATTACGTAGAGAAACTTTAACCATCGAATCCTTGGTCAATTTGAAGACGAAATTTCCATATGAACATGGGTCCGCAACAGCTTGGTTTTCAAGCTACAGCATATTTTATTTTAATTAACTATGTCCTGTGGTGAATATCACATGATTTACAGTTGTTTTCAGACCCTCCATGTACGTATATACGAATAATGTTATCCAGTATTTTTAGAAAAAATAACATGACATTGATTTGTTTTGATCGCAATATTTTTAATATTTAAGCATTGTGCTTATCTAGACTCCTATGACGTACCCGAAAAGAATTGAATTAGGTAATTTATTTTCTCAAATAATTCGACAGCTGTCAAATGCGTGTTTTCTTGTCTGTCCACTTTTAACATTTATTGTAAAAAAAAAACTATTCGACATTTTCTATTGTTGTCGTTCTATTCGATGTTACTGTTCAAAACTATTGACCTAAATAATTTTTTTTTCCAAAAATAAAAGAGTACTATTTTCATCCACGTTCAGCCTCAGCTACTTGTAAAACATTAAACATTCATCATATGTTATACCAACCGTTCAATAAATACGTTTCATTATTCATAGAAATATTTGGAACATTACTCGTATTTGTTTAGTGATAGTGCTGCTCTATCTCGAAAAGAAAGCCGTTACGTCTTCAAATTGACCAACGATTCGTTTTTTAAAGTTTGTCTACATACTTTATTAGCACCCTGTATATATAGATAAATTCGACATCACTTTAAACAATCTAGGATATTTTCGAATACTATATAGTCAGCATCAATCGACCATAAACCATGTCCTAAAATATCTTCTTCTATCAACTTATTCCTAAAATATCTCGTCAAAAACAAGAATTACATCTCTGATGCTGATTCGTTTAGAGATCCTTTCGAATAAACGAAAATCATCTCGTTACAGGGTTGGGTTACATGTTCAACTTCATGATAGTGAAGGTATATCCAGACATGGTCAGCGCTTTTACTGGAAAAGGAGTAATTTGTTTCTATGGTGGTGTAGCTTTACTTGGAACGATATTTGTAGCTCTTTTACTGCCTGAGACCAGAGGGAAGAGCCACACAGAAATTGAGGCTCTATTTGGACACAAACCTACTATAAGAAATACTGAAGCTGAAAACAAGATAGAGGAAGGAGAAAAGCAAGGTAATTATGTCGGAATAGAATTCAAAGATGTTTGAATTTTTATGACTATCTAGGAATGTAAAAACTTCGCGTACTCTGAATAGTATTTACATGGTTCATCGAATTTCTATTTTATTTTTATAGATTTGATACACGAAGATGGAATCAGATACGTCTAAAGCTTTCAGAGGATGCGAACTTTTGCAGATTAAGGAATATGATCTCATTTTTCAGCATATTTTTTTTGTGGCTAAAGAAGACGAGATATTCTTTTAAGTGCAGTATATCATTATATGAATAGTACACAAGGGACAGACTGGATGTGAATTTAGAGAAATAAGCGTATTACTTATGAATTGTGGAACTATGCAGGTAATGATAACTTATACAAATAAATAGAAAAATGATGTAGATCATAGTGAGATTGGACGGCAAATATTTTCTGTAAGAACCAAATTATCATTTGAATACAATTTTCATCCCAAATTTTGTGTAAAGGGTGATTGATTTGATTAATTATTATTTGAAAATCCACTTTGACTATGACTGTTCAATGCAAAATGTAATTGTAATATTAAGGTACTGTTTTTAATGTTAGGCTGTGATTTTATATAATAGAATGATAGTGCTAAACTGCTATAATTTCATAGCTAAAGTCATTTAATTTGTATGTTATGTACTCGTATCCCATTCATGTTTGATATTTTTATATAAATATATCCTTCATACTGACTTATTTCTTCTTATCCTGCTACGTACCTACGAGGAAAAGTTGAGCGATAAGAAATTATAATTGATTTCATGGAAGTAGATGCTTCTGAGACAGCTTGGAATGGTGTACTTTCCAAAATTTTTATTACTACAAAATATCAATACTATCAGAATATCCCCGGTTATATACAGGGTATTTCCTAATTGAATGACAGTATTTAAGGGGGCGATTTTTTAATCCATTTTAAGAAAAAACTTAATATGAACGTATGTCTTCAAAGTCTTAACTTTTTAGATACGGTAAGGTAAAGTTTACAAAAATAAATCATTTGGTACGCCATTGACTTTTCTTAAAATAAAAAAAATTACGTCTGTATAAGCCAGAATCGTTCATGGGATTGAAAAAACCAAGCAATCAAATTTGCTTAGACATGATACAATAGAAGAATAATTAACGAATTAAATCAGTGGCCTAACATTAATATCTGCCAAAATAGTCAGCTGAAATTCCGTACCACTGGTGGCAATTAGAAAAAATACAGGCATTAAACCGATATGTAAGAGGCTTAACTAATACACAGTTGCTCGATAATATTACTATTTAAGTCATAAACTGTTCGAAAGCTTTAAGTTATGTATAGCATGGTCAACATCACTACAGTCTTAAAGTAGAAAAACGGACTATTACAAGTGAGATATTATATTTTGGAGAGAAAGGAATTCTGCCAGATCTTTTATTGATTTAATAACAAACTCAAAGTGATCGTTGAAATTGCCTACTGTTGAATTATTGCTATTAGGGGTCTGTCCTGGGTCCTGGTTTCTGATTTCCTTATGATTTTAATAATAATAATTTTCCATGTGATTTTTAGCTGCGTTATTTATATATTTCCCATATGCTTATTTTTGTAATGAATTTTTTATAATCTGAATGATCTCAATATACATTTCGTGGGCAAGAGGATCAGAGGTAGTGTGCGGCTACTGTCACGTATTACTTTTATGACTTGACATTTACTAATCAAACAGGTGGCCATAAATTATATCGGCTCAGAATAATCAGTGTTACTGAGACTTACCTGCAATACCGCTGGATATAACTTTCCTATATTTAAGATGTTGTTTACCGCGATTAGTGTTTATCATGATATATTGATCAAAGTGGTCCGATAAACATGAATGCGCGTTAGTTAAAATACTGCCGATACAACAAGCGGGGCCATTGAAAACCCTTGCACAACCTTTGATTGTAGCATACATTCCGAAATACTCCATAGTACACATAAAACAGATAAAATATTAGTTACGCTAAAATTGATATTAAAATCTCCAAGAAAAAAGATTTTTTAATACTTAATAAACCTTTAGAATATCAACTGCTGACAGACATGATTCATCATTCCCAAAGCAGGATCTGTATACCGCAATAATTACTGTTTTATTGGTCAACTCAATTGCACAAAACTCTATATCGATTTTCTTGCGGAGAAATCTAACGTCAATTATCTTACAAGTAGTCTCTGTTCGAGCGTATAATGCAGATCCACCACGTATGTTATTTTCCCAAGAAAAGGCTGAAATTAGATTATAATTTTCAAACAAACCTTATTTAAAGATCTTTTTTCAAAAAATACTATATTTTCAGTCGATTAAGAAAAGGTGGAATTTGACCGATCTTATTACTGTAGGGTGAAATAATTACAACCTCAATGTTTAAAAAATATTATATTTACTGTTTTCGTTAAAAATTGAACTATATAATATTCCACCCTTCACTATCACTGTCCTACAAAACCACTATTTACAATACCGCATTTCTCATTGATCCTTTCCATATGACTATCCTTCACTTTCTCACACAGTTCAGCATCTTCATCTTTCAAAATCTGCTCATATTTCTTTTTACTCCTTTTGAATCTTGGAGCTACAAACTTTGCTAACAAATACTCTACTAGGACATCTTCTGTTAGGATACTCGCAACAAAACATACACTCGATATTACTAGTACAGCATATCTGGCTTCTATTGGTGGTAGCTTAAGCTCTAGTACTTGTTTTATCCAATAAGCTGGATCTATGGTAATGTATATGCTTACTAAAGTTGTAATGACCAATGAAAACGTTAAATACGTATTCGTATACAAAGGTTGACGGTAAGGCCTTCCTTTAGAGAATGCTACTACCATTGTTATATACTGGAACGTTGATACAGTGAATACCACGTAGTTTTCAACGGAAACAAAATTTTGTGGATTTTTCTCGTTATACTTGAATGGTATAAACTCCTCATAGGTTTGGATGTGATAGTATCCAAAGATTTGGCAACTGGTTGCAATCACCATGAAAAAAATCATGGAACAAATCGGGATGAAACCCATCAAAGACGTTCTAGGAGGCACTTTATCCAGTACCTCGTACGCCTTCGTCACTCCAAAGAACGTGGCAAAGTTCAGTATCAGACAAGTATCTATGAAAAGGAACTGCAATGAGCTGAGGTTAGAATCGATGTTGTACAAAATTAATACTGACGCAAACTGCGTCAGGCTGTAGCAAAGCATGACCTTGAAAATGCCAAAAGAGGTCACCAGTGCTGCTCGACCTTCTTTGATCACTTTTGGTATACATGAGATGTTCTGCTCCTGAGATGTGAACGGAGAGGCTACGCTGGACTCTGCTTCCGAAAGAGAAACGCCCACATGGGCTGCTTTGAGGGCTCCACAGTCGTTTGCACCGTCGCCACTCATTGCTGCAAAAAGATAGGGAGCATCAACAAATAAAATATAAAGGGTGCTCTGAAGTTTTAGGTTTCGAAGAAGTCTGAGTCCGGCCCTGCCTGCCCAGTATAGGTGCGAAGACCCAACGCACGTCAGTATTCAATCAATTGACTCTCCTCGTATTTAACTAATTTTAGAAAGTCGTGAGTATTTTTTGAGGGAGTTAGGTACACTTGTATAAGTGGTATTTTGCTATGTTATATATATACTCGTATATAGAGAGAGAGCACAGAGCTCGTAAAATATCGCAGGTTACCGCCATATAGGACTTGTTTTTTAGATAGATACTTACTGGGGTCATTTCATCACTGCCATTGCATGTAGCATTCAGGTTATCAAATTTTTATAAAATAATTTCAATTTAATAACTATTCTTACAACAAAGCTACAGTAAGTCTACCAGTATTCCTTTATATATCTCCATCTCCCTCATACATACACATGCAACCTATCCCTCTGTGTGAACGTTTGTTCGGAAAGCTCAAAGATATAAGTTTTTTAGTTGTGTCTCTCCGACTCGAAATCTTTGTTGTTACGTCTGAGTGTCCTTCGATCATATTCGTCAGGGTGACAGCTTACTTGACATCGGCGTGCAATTTAAGTTGTCTTGTTATGAATCTTCAATATAAAATTGTACAATATCCGGAAATACGAGCAATGGAGAAGGCTGACAGCTCGTGCTAAATTGTTTAGAGTATTTCCAGGAAGAGAATGAAAACTGCGTTCCCCTGCCATGCGTACTGGAGAGAGGAGCAGATGCGCTGAAGATTAGTCTGCGAAGTGTTCCACCCATTTTTTGTATACTCCAACTACCCCAAAGGCCTAAGGCATAAACACACATGGGGTACCTAGGGGTTATAGGGGGATACAGGGGAAAGGGGGAGGGGGACGCCACACGGACTCTGGCGAGGGAACACGTGTGCCCGCAACATACACAAATTCTGGCCCCGCCTACGAGATCCGCCGGGTGATACCTCCGCGTTTGACAGTTAGAGGCCGTCTACCACCTACGAACAATCACAACATCAATAACCAACAGAAAAATTTCTCTTGACACGGGATTCGAACCAGCGCCAGCGCAGCTCGCGGCGACTGATCAGGGCACCGAAGAGTCTACCACTGCGCCGGCCACCGCTCTGCCTAGAGACTCAATCTGCCTACTTATTTCATATGTCATACAGGACTCCATTGCATGGTAGTTTTTCAGGCACATTCGCATTATGCGCAAATATTATAGCTGTAGCTCAGTACTTGAGAATAAGAATTTTCTGAGGAGAATAAAACCCAATTTCACTAATTTAACCTCTTTGCTCTCTCCGTACCGTCCCAAAACTATGATAAATGGACTCAGCGCAGGACCAAAAACATAGGAATGAGCATTATTGTTCACAAGAATGAATGGGTATTTTTTGCAAGGTTTTGTACCTTCCTGGTCCACTGTGCGGCGGGTATTCCCTCTCTCAAACGACGTCTAGCATCTCCAAAGCGACAACTGAGCATGAGATTATCTGTTGTTTTGAATGCACCAGACAAGTCTACCTAGCACATCGCTCCGGAAGGTCAAGCGAAACCGGCAACGTGAAAACTCACTCAGAATGCAATAACAAAATTTCATTATTCCCCTCTAATACTAGTGCGACTTTTTGTTCACTTTCTGTATTATTTAATATTGTATTATTTGTATTCTATTACGTATCAATATTATTATCTACTGGCTACATTACCCGCGTTCTTATTTTGTAAAAATACTTCACCAAAATCACTGATCAAAGAGTTAACTTACCAACATAATATCCCAAATCTTTGAGCTCTTCAATCAACTGCTGTTTCTGCATACCAGACATTCTAGCGAAAACTTTTCCTTTCACCACTATTTTCTGAACTAGTTCTGGAAAATGCTCTTGAATGTACGCCCAACATTTTCCACTTATCGCATAGCAGTACTTTCTGTTAGGTCGGCCTTTCTCTATGTCCAGATCGGAAATTACTTCGTTATTCTACAAAATACGAAATATCTATAAAAATATTGTAACATTTGATATTCGGTACGACATGTCCGGGACGAACAGACTCCTTTTGGCTCTGACATGCATAAAATTGAAGTTATGTATTGTAACTTGGCCAGTCAATGACGCATGCAGCCTATTTTTAAGTGGCCATTAGTCCAGTGACTGAGCTGTAACTATAGCTCAAGTTCAAGTGTCCTTAAGCCTTGGAAGAGTTGACCATAGTAGAAGGGAGACTTACCCATATCCATTTATACAGCAAGATAAAGGAAAACCGTTTTTAAATAACGAACAGCTTATTTAAAAATAAGAACACACGACAAATAAAAGTTTTTCTATTATAATATTCTCTAATCTCATGACGAATGCAATGTGGAAGTAATCAAAGCAACTACTCACAATATAACCTAATAAAACCTAATAAATAACTAAAATAAAATGTCTCTCAGCACAAATCATGATATAAAACATAGTATAATTTTTTCATAATGTTAGTCTTTATGACTGATCACATTCATGGTAGGTATATGTAATTTACATTATATTTATTGGTCAATCCAACGCATATCGCGTGCATATTTGCAGCATATTCTTGCAGGAAATATAAACTTTCATGTTTAAAACTTCTTCCCTCTATACAAAACAATACCAAGGGTCAGTTAAATTACGATCTTCTTCCCACCTGTTACCACTCGAGCTATCGCCGTACTGATTCTGTTTCATTTATATATTTTATAGCTGTTTTCTGTTAAGAGTTACCAGATTTCACATATGAAATACCAACTTTTAACTCTTACTTAATAACTTAGTTTAGTTTTATTTTTGTCCTATCCTATCCATATCCTACAAAACGTTAAAATTATTATTTTTTTTGTCAGACTTACCAAAGTGACAGTTGAACTATTGATTATATCTCCCTTACCCATCTTTGTTTACTTTATTGCGAAACTAGTTTAAGCTTAGGAATAAAACACGGTTGGATGTTAGAGCTAGACAAATTCAGTAATCTAACTAATATGAAGTTCATTACACTCCAAAGTGAATAAAGAAGCAACGTAAGCACACAAAATATATGAAGTTCTCACTCCTGGCCAATAAAAACCTCGTCTCACTGTAAAAGCGGTGTAGTAGAAGCCAATAAGACACCGTATGTGTGATAAGCAACGAGTATGTATGCACCGCCGATCAGAAATCTGAACAGGGAGAAATTGAAACCGATTTATTTGACTTGGGTCGTATCTCCTACCTGGTCATGTCCCCCGGATTCCCCCTACTGCAATATTGGTAAGGATGATTCTAATGGGGATCTCATCGCACTTGAGCCACACCGACATCGAATTCGTTTTCCAAATATCCTGCCTATGTGACCAGGGCGTGGTTATCGATACTCATTAATGTTAGTACGTCATCAAAAAATACACCCTGTTCTCCTTGCTTTTAGCATCCATATTACATGACACTAAGTTAGGTTAGGTAAGTGTATTGATATCTATGAAATCATGAATGTTGTGAAGTAGTTTTCTCGAAAATCGCAAGATGTGGCTGTCTTGACTGTACATTAAGACTGTGACAACTTACGTTCATAACATCGGGACCTCTTGATTGATAGCACTCAATATAACGAACCGAGTGACACTTCCGTTCTGTAGAAGAGTCAACGACAACCTCTATAATAGCCTCATCTGGATCAACCATGCCACATTCTCTTGCTATGTGAATGCCTGTCTTAATATTGTCGCCTAAAAAGTAGAATTAGTAGATACTTCAACGTGTAAAGTCGGACATTGCTTGCTATCAAACTGCACACTTGAGGTCATTACCTGTAATCATTACTACCTTCAGATTAGCCTCTTTCAGCAACTTCATAATAGGAGTAGTTTCAGGTTTCAATCTGTTCTCCAAAATTATCAAACCCAGGAGCTCCAAGTCGTATTCTACGTTTTCTCTGTTCAACTTGTCTATTTCTACTCCTGCTTCTAAGTTTTTCTTAGCTAACGCTAAAACTCTATATCCTTGGCTAGTATAGGTACCTAGCATATCAAAAAAGTCCGTAGGGACCGAAAATTCGTTGGAAAGAGATGATATCATTTCTGGCGATCCTTTACAGAATATCACTGGACTACTTGAGTTGCTGGATTTTACAATGACGCTCATCCTCTGGAGATTGGACGAAAATTGGAACTGTTTGAGAATTTGTAATTGAGTGTCTTCCTAAAAGCAGCACAGTTGTGGCATACGAAGCTTAACGCCAAATTAGACATACAACCTCACCAATAGTAGATTCAACTATTGTACTTCGTTTGACCTCTTCGTTACGTATATTCCATTTTGTGGATTCGAACATCTAAAACAGATTACGATCGAGTAGTTCAAATTGTTGAAAAAAACGTTCCGGATTAGTATCACTAAGTAAAAGCATCTACATGGTGCGACAAAACCAACTATGCAGCTTCGAAGGATTATAAAAAATAGCGTCAAGTAAGTTTACTCTGTACTGCCCTCTGAGAAAAAAGTCATTCAAACAGGTCCATGCAATTAGACCATAGACATTTCTCTGCCCTACCGGTAGTGCATTTGGAAACGCCTCTCCCCGATACCGGACTCGGGCAGACGTGTCACCGCGGCCATTCGTCGTTTATCAAGTTTTACAAATATTGCCTCCAAAATGACGGCCTTTGGCCACACTTGGAAACGACTAGAATTCGATCTGTTGTTTTCTACAATAAAGTTCCCTTCGGCTATGTTCGGTAAAATCAGGTAACATTTCAGCATGTTAAGCTGCTAATTGTAGGCATCAAATGTCAAATTAGCGCAAATTGTCATGTTCAGTAGTTAATGTGGTTATGTTTTGGGACATCTTGATGTTTGGGTTCACGGTAGTTTCGATTTATATCCTAAAAACCTGAGCTTTCCGAATAATGTTTTCGCTAGATGCAATTCAAACTCTGGAAGCGTAGGGGGAAGATAGATGGGTGCAATCAGAGAAAAGCCTAGAAAGAGTTTTGCCCTTCAAGATAAGCTATTTGTGAAACTGCTTTATTTAAACAAAGAAGTGGCGCATTATGTATTATGGTATTCTCCAAGCATCTATGAATTCTTTCTCTAGAGAGGTCTAAAGGATAAACCACTTTGTCATCCTTCTTACACCCTATTAGGGCCTATTGTTGAAAAAGTGGAACGCTATTCCCCGCGATATGTATAAGCAACACATAAATTGATAACTTAGTTTTACGAGGAAATACAAGTCGTTTTGTGGAAACTAAAGATGAAAAACAATGTCCAATCGTGGGCATGTTCTCAATAAAGAAACATGAGCAGGAATAGAAGGATTGGTAATCCGAGCGACGTACGTTTCTGCTCATTGGCTTCATAAGGTTCAAGTGGATGCGCATCGAAAAGACCGAAGTTAAAGCATATGCCCATCACATCTGGTTACGGGTGTAACCTGAAGGAAAACAAGAATACCATCAACTAAAACCAGCCTGCACAGTTAGTTTGCACAATCTACAAAATATAAAACTGGACCTGTTAACAAGAAAATATTTTGCAAGTTTATCGCCTGATCAGAAAGACATTCGACATTCCCTTCCTCACAAAAATTTTACATTGAGAACATTTTAAGTTTAAAGGCATACATATTATTGAAGGAAAATTCCTAAAATTCTTGCGTATCTGTACCTTTACATCTAAAGGATCTCCGGCTAATTGTTCATTTAATAAAGTCAAAGAATGACATGTTGCCATCCCTTGTACAATATAAGAGGTGGATGGCAAGGCGCCAATGTCCCTGGAAGGCTCCAAAAACTTTCCATTTTCTATTGGAACCACTCCCCACATGTCCAGTTCGTTTTCTGTGAGAGTACCTGTCTACAACAAAGACATCTATATCACCTATATTGCATACCTTATTTTGACGTGTGATATTTTTTTATGCAAATTAAGGCGAAAGGGACCCAATTACAAGAAATGCTTAATCAATGTAACGTGTTTCTTCTTTTTGCAAATAATGCTGTGAACAAGAAAAAACAGGCACTTTCGCCTTTACCCTTGTATACTAAAAATTCCTACTAATAGTCTGAGCATTTCTCAAAATTGATTTAATTTTAATAATAATTTATTTATTTATTTATCAAGTTAGTGACCAACATTCTGTTTTTTATCAAGAATCTAAACTTGAACATTTCACGAGCAAAAATATCATCAAATTTACCACAATTGTTCAGATTTCTTTGCATTCGTACCAGTGGAGAATATAAACCAATATTAGTTCTACAAAACGGTATATTGAAGTACATATGTACAATGTCTAGGATCCACTCGTATCGGTACATTTACATTGATTTTCGATGAAAGGTAAAATAAGTCAATTTGTTTGTTCAAGATTCTGTGAAGAAAACATAAATCAGATAAAACCCTTTTCTCACCCAGGGGTCAGCTTAAAATGTTCCATTACCAAGCTATAATCGTAATTATGAACAATGATGATGTGATGACCTTTTAAGCCAAAATTCGCAAGAACTGATGCTGCATAGTCTTAATTCTCCTTGTGTGGACTTTGTACAGTGGGTTCCAAATAATAGACGTGAAAGAGAGATTACTATGTATAAACGAATAATATATAGTGATAACAAGGTAGCAGGGTTGTTGAAGTATCGAGAGTGTCTTCTAATAAAGCCGAGCATCTTATTTGTTTTTATGGTTTCATCTTAATGGCTATTAGAGCTCCATTTCGCACTTAGTGTAACACTCAGGTTCCGAATATTGCTCATAGAATTAATATTGACATTATCTCTGATACGCATACGAATAGTTTTCTTTTTTGTCGTAAATGTGATTGAAAAGCATTTTTTAGTGCTAAATGGCAGATCATTTCTCTGACAGTAATCGTTGAGTTTGTATATATCAGATTGTATTTTGACTCAAGAACCTGGCAATAACTGAAAAGTTGTGCGATATCATTTATATAGATTAAGAAGTATAATGGATCTAGGTGGCTACCCTGGGGAACTCCCGATGATGGAATAATATATATCCGTCCAAATAAGATGGAACCCAGTTTACAAGAAAGCTACGAACACTAACCTGAGCAAGTTTTGTTAATAGCAAATTATCATTAACTCGATCAAAATCCTTGCTGAAGCTGGTATGAATAGAATCGACTTGTAAATGTTGGTCCAAAGCATCGGAAACGAAGTCAGAAACACCAATTGGTATCCAGGCATCTTTTCGGAAAAAATCCATGCTGTTGCTGAATGATTACGTTTTTTTACATCAAGTATTTCGCTATAAATTAGCTTTCCGAACATCTTCAAGAATATTGTTAAAAGCCCTGCAATTGTCTGATATGTACCTGTCTTCACTTTTAAATATAGGTGTAACGGACGATTTCTTCCAAGCATCTGGGAATGTGTTAAGTTCTAAAGAGGTGTTGAAAATTAAAGTAAGAGGTTTGTATAAATTCATTTTACATTTTTTTTAATAATATTGGTGGTATATTTACTCTTCCAGCAGATTTGTTGATATCTAAAGTATCAATAATTTTAAGTAATTGCTTTTCACGGATTGTTTTCAAACCTTTGGATATGCCTCCGTCCAAAGGAATGTCGGAAACATTATTTTTTGTAGAGAAAACGCTACTGAAGTACTCGGTAAACAAATTACAGACTTCGATAGGCTTATTAGCGCTTTTGTTATTGTAGGTATGTTATTTCCCGGTCGTTGATTGTATCTGAATTTTTACTAATTGCTATAAACTTCCAAAATTTCTTTGAATCAAGTTCAATTTCATTTTCTACATTTGTCATATAATTTTGGAAGTATTTGGCTATCAACTGCTTAGATTTTTTTCTCAAGGTTAAGTATTCAGCGTAAGCTCTCAAGTTATTATACAATTTGAATTTGTTGTGATCTTTTATTCCTCTTTATAGTTTTAATAGTTTCTTGCTTAAAGTAAATATAATAATAATATCAGGATGACACTACTTTCATGGTTATTCAAAATTTCATGGCGTATCTTCCAAAAATAGTATCTTCTACACAATTTTTTTAATGAATTTACGCACCTTATCAAAACAAACACAGTCAATAGATCCAGTAACATTAATGACTCTGGAGTTGATGCAAAATATCTTCGACTTCTTGAGCCGATTTAGAGCATAAAGTTTGCCTACAGTCATTGCTGCCGGTAAAGCTGGAGGAACTGCGATCGTAACTACATCCAAAGCTTTTATGATGATGTCCAGCGCACGGATGTTCCTGGAAGACTGATAAATAAAAACGTGCAAATAATTGAACGCCTTATAGTTTCAAATTGATAATTACATAGAAGAGTCCAGCTACCTACCTTTGAAACGATAGTATAGATGACCCCCATGATTCCCACGATAGATAGAATTCCGATAAACTTATAACTATCTCTTTCAAACTTAAAGTCTGCTGGAGGTGGATACAAAATGCTTCGGACTAGTTCACCTTTAGCTGTCAAATAGCCTGTTCGTATTACTACTGCCAAAACCTTATCTGAAAAATAACCACAAAAAGCTGATGGTGACATCCAAAAATTTGTATCAAAGCGCTATGTTTGAAGGTCACGAGACCACGATTCCCGTAGTATAGGAATTATGGGTTTCTAAGGCGTAGGTGTTGTGATCATTACTGTGATGACGTCGCGCGAGGCAGTACTACCCAGACAGCACATAACATATGCTGTATACAGGGTGTTCCATAATTATTGCGACAAAATGATAGGGGTTGTAGAGGGCATAAAAATATGCAATTTTGCCTTATAAACCCCTGTTCGTAAATATGCCGTTTGAGCACTACAGTTAATTTTACCTTAAGAGCTCATAGGAGAAACAAAAAATTCACCAGCTGCAAAATGTTCGTCTAGCACATTTCATGGTCTCACCGGTTTGTAAAAAAAGCCTGCTGTGTTTACATTTTTGTTATCGTACACCCGTACCACCTTTTAAAAGTCCAAGCCATGGGTCCAGCAGACTATCTGCCGCGTCAACGTTTTTGCCGTTGGTGGCTGCAGCAGGAGTTGAGGCAACCAAACTTTGGTCGCTACGTTTTGTTCACTGACGAGTCCTGTTTTACAAAGGACGGTTATTTTAATAGCCATAACAGTCACATTTGGGATAAAGAAAACCCTCATGCCATAGCCATCCATAGAGACCAACATCAGTTTTCAATTAACATCTGGTGCGGCATTGTGGACGAGCATATCATCGGGCCATATCTGCTTCCACCACGTTTGGATGGGCATGCTTATGGTCGATCCTTACAGCATGTGCTACCGGAACTATTACAAAATGTGCCACTGAATATAAGAGCCAACATGTGGTTTCAACACCATGGCGGTCCAGCCCACTTTTCTTTACAAGTGCGGCAGTATTTGGACGACAAATTTCCAAATAGGTGGATAGGCCGAGGTGGCCCTGTGCCTTGGCCTGCGCGGTCACTTGACCTGACCACACTGGATTATTTTATCTGGAGCTATCTGAAAGCTTTAGTGTACGAAACTCCTGTTCCCAACCAACAAGAGCTACTGGGAAGAGTGATGGCCGCGTCCGCACATGTTCAGGACATACCGGGGGTATGCCACAGAGTTCGCCGATCATTGAACAATCGTGCACAGCTGTGTATTGAGCAAGGTGGAGGATACTTTGAGCAATTACTGTAGGTAAGCTGTTTCAAGAAACTGATCTTTTTTTTTTGCTGCAGCCCAAACGGCATATTTCCGAACAGGGGTTTATAAGGAAAAATTGTTCATTTTGATGCCCTCTACAACCCCTATCATTTTGTCGCAATAATTATGGAACACCCTGTATACATTAGACACCTACCTCATCCATGATATATACAGGGTGCGGCAGAGAGGATGGACGGTTTTAAAAAATTCATAAAATAGTTAATTTTTACTCGAAAACAAATTTATTGATGGAATCTGGTTCACAAGGAAATAGCATTTGAGACAGTCAAGGTGGAAAATCACATCAGGCATGTGGTGGCCGAATTCGTTGATGCAGTGCTGGAGGCGTTCTTGGAAGTTGGCCACCATCGCCCTTCAATTCGTCCAGAGTTCGGGGCTTGTTCGCGTATACTCTAGCCTTGAGGTGTCCCCATAAGAAAAAAATCGCATATGGATAAATCTGGGGACCGAGGAGGCCAATGAACATCGCCAAACCTGGAAATAAGGCGACCGGGGAAAGAGGGCGAATAACGTCCATGGATGCTCGGGCTGTGTGGGCTGTCGCCCCATCCTGCTGGAACCACACACGTCGGATTGGAACACGTCGCCGTCGTAATTCAGGGAGAAAGACGTTGGTGATCATGTCGACGTAGCGCTCTGAGTTCTCGGTAACATCACGACCATTACCGTCTTCGAAGAAGTAAGGGAAAATGATGCAAGTTTGCGATACAGCGCACCAAACCATTACTTTTGGGCTGTGCAGCGGTCTTTCGTGTAACTGATGCGGATTTTCATTAGCCCAATAACGACAATTCTACTGGTTAACCATGCTGTTTAGGTGAAAGTGGGCTTCGTCACTCATAAACAAAATGAGGTTCTCATTTTGATCGATCAGTGCTTCCATCTCACGTGCGAAGTTCATTCGTTGTGCATAATCTCCGGGCGGTAACTGTTGCACAATGGCCAATTTGTAGGGGTGAAAGTGGAGATCCATATGCAAAATTTGCCTTAACGAACGATCACTAAGGCGAAGTGCAGCAGCATGTTTCCGGGCAGATCGAGTCGGACTGCGAAGAAAGACCTGTTGAACGCGTTCAACATTTTCAGGAGTTCTAACTGTTCGCGGCGCTCCTCTTGGTCTTCTGTTGATCAGTTCACCATGCCTGCGAAGTGATTCAACCCAACAAAGGATGGTGTTTCAAGAGGGAACAGCTCTATTCCGGTGAGTGTTGAAGTGGTGACGAAACTCACGCTGTACGACGATGACTGACTGATTAATTCGGACGAAACAATCATAGGCGAAAACGCGGTACTCCACCGCCCAAGGCTCCATAACGGCAACTGGTAAAATAATGCTAGGATCTCACGAGTCAAACGGCACACTCCCCACCTCTCTAGTAGACGGAAGCGGAGAGTACTACCCATCCCAAAAACGTCCGTCCTCTCTGCCGCACCCTGTACTATTTGGAACAATAATGCCACTAATCCCCTGTATCTCCTCCACTGGTGCACGTTAATTTTAAGTAAAGGCTTTTGAATGTGGGCAATACTTAGGTAAGTCTACATACCAAATTTTAGTTCATTTCAGTTGACGGTTTTGAAAATTTTGAAAAGTTTTTTATTTTTTAACTTCAACACCCCGTATCTTTTTAATGAAGCCATCGAGTAAAAAATGTTACCTCCCCTTAAAATGCGTTCCTGTTTATGATGTTTCATTTTTGGTCACGACTTGTGAATCACCCTGTATGTCAAGAATCTTACATGTAGGCATGCCTGTTTTGATTTTACATTTATTTACTCATATTGTTTGTTATCTTTGTACATTGAGTGAATAAATATTATTATTATTATTATTATTATTATCTGGATATCCATCCGGTGGATATCCACTGTGGATATCTAATAGACACCCTCTGGATGTCTGTGTGTTGTATGGGTACGCAATCACACCCACTTATAGTTTTAGGGTCATGAAACATTGAAGTAATGAAAGACTTAAAGTTTCGTACCTGTCGATCTTGTCTGAATCACTTTGGTTCCACAAAACAAGGTATGATTTGTGTCTTCTTTTAAGTTGAAATCTGCCTCGTTGTTTGGAAGAGGAGTTTTTGTGACAGGTACTGACTCTCCTGAGAAACAACAAGTAATCTTCAATAGTCAAGTGGTCAAGTACTGAAATCCAAGACAGTAGCGTAACGCATTGTACGCCACTGTTAAGGCAGGGTTCGTTGCGGTTAGGAAATTTCGAATTGAAAATAATAATTCACAATTAAATACTTGTTTTATACTAAGCTAAATCGTGTAATTTCTCGCATGGGGCCCTACAAATTAATCAACTTAAAGGTTTTACGAATAACTTCTGTTTTCATAATGTGAAAAAATCACCCGCGAAAAGAACGATTTTTAAGTTTATTCTTCTTAAAACGATTTAGTTTAGTATCAAAAGGGAATTAAAAGTATGAAATTTCTAATCTCAATACCCTGCACATTTCGCCTTAACGCGGTATAGAGCGGTGAATCAGACCCGAAAAGCGACCGAACACTGACATTTTATCCAGAATGAGCCTTAGAGTACTAATCAATACCTTTCAGCTAAGAAGTGATCCCCAAGCGGCACTATTGGAAGGAGCGATATACAGGATGTTGTATGTCCCGAAGATGCAAATTCATCATTTCTATATTTTGATGTATTAGGTCGCTTTTAGCAGTTTTTCTGCTACACTTTGACTACTACGAGTATTTATTGCCAATACTATCTATGTGTTGAGATAAAGCTTGCCGAACTAGCGGAATATTTTCCAGGATATCTTGGAATACAAAGGAAACATAGTCCGCCATCAGCGCCTAGATATCGACCGCTCCACTTTGTTGCACCGGAATGAAACACATCATGAAGAACATTCTCACTTTCGAAATCTGGTGTACCAGTGAGGATCCTGGCTGCGGAGGGTTGCGATTTTCTCAATTATTCAAAGTGATTCGAGCAGTGAGCTACCTATATGCCCGATCTAAGCTACAGGGGGTTGTATCACCCGCCAAATTATTTTGACCAAGATCTGGGGCACAGCTATTAGTACAAATCATAGCACCATATACAGCGTTTGTCCGGAAAGTAATAGGACTCATTTTCTTCCGCCACGACTGTACTTCGGAGCGTGCGCCCTACTGGATTCGGTATAGGGCGTTCCTAGCTAACGAATGAGCGGCTAGTCAGTTGTCTCCGAGCACTTGGAAAGACGGGACAGGCATTTTCGGACATGACATTGTGACACAGCATTTGAACATGCGCAAGGTGTGCGCGAAGATGGTCCCAAAAGTGGTCACTGACGACCAGAAATTGCGGCGAGTGGAAGTGTGCCAAGAAAATTTGAACATGTGTGAAAGTGACCCCCAATTTTTGAATAACGTAATCACAGGTGACGAGTCGTGGATCTTTGAGTATGATCCCGAGACAAAGAGGAAATCTTCTGAGTGGCACACGACGACGTCTCCTCGCCCTAAAAATGGAAGAATGAGCAAATCCAAAGTGAAAACGATGCTCATTGTCTTTTTTGACATCAAAGGCATCGTCCACCATGAATTTGTTCCTCCTGGACAAACCGTCAACGCCAAGTTTTACGGGAAGTGCTCAGGAGACTCTAACGAAGGGTCAGTCGGGTCTGACAAGACATCGCAGCCGACTGGAAGTTGCACCACGACAATGCCCCGGCTCACACCGCCTTTCTTGTGAACAGCTACCTGACCAAGGCCGGCATCCCAACGCTTCCACAGCCACCCTACAGCCCAGATGTGGCCCCCCGGACTTTTTTTTGTTTCCTCGCCTGAAAATGTCGCTGAAAGGCAAGCATTTTGAAACGACAGAGGGGATCCAAGCAGCATGCACCGCGGCTCTCAAGGCTATTCCGGAGAATGCCTTCCGTGACGCCTTCAATGCTTTGAAATCGCGCTGGCAGCGCTGCATCGACGCTTATTTTGAAAGTTTTTAAAGAATTGTAACGAATGGCTCAATAATTTTTTTTAAATCGACTCAGTCCTTTTACTTTCCGGACAAACCCTGTATTCTCTGCAGCTCTAATACATCTGCATTTGTCCCTGCATGATGCAAATTTGATCGCTCGATTTTTTCGATCTAATGCACTGTTTTAGCAGCAAAAAATAAAAAAGGTTTTTGTTTGCATAATCATAACAATATCGTTAATATGACAATATCACCATCTAGAGAAAAAGCTTTTATTTTTTTAGGTGAAAACCTTGCGCCGTACTAAAAAAATTCAAGAGTTCAAATCTGCTCATCACTCATCACTGAATACAGATTATTTTTTTATTTTAACGGAAGTCAGTGGCGTGCGTCTTTCTATATTGGAAACGTTACCACCCTGTACATATCTCAAAAGTTAAGACGTTTAGGGAATACGTTCACATCTTCTTAAAATGGGCTCAAAAATCGCTTTCGTAATTATACACATTCTGTTAGGAAACACCCAGTATAGTTGTGAGCATAAGTGCACAGCTTAGGTGATTGATGACGCCACGTCATTATCGCGCAGGCGGGTTGGGTATCTTGTGGTGGACATATGTTGATCAATGCCAATAATGTTAATCAAAACATTCATTATTAATAATTAATTTCTAAGAAAGGTGGCATAATACGTGTGAAAATCACCTGTCAACATGCTCTCATTTACAACACAACTTCCTGACACCAAAACTGCGTCACACTGGACCTGACACCCTGTTGGCGGGATCACAATAACGTCTCCGGGTACCAAATCAGTTGATGGTATCTCTTCGTATACATCATTACCTCGACATACTGTAACATTTTCTTGAGAATGAACCGTTCCTTTCAAGTTGATTTGATTCTAAAATGAACAAATTGAAATTAAGCCCGTTGTTCGCTATAATACTAGACTCATGCAAGAATTGTATAAAGCACTACATGTAGCAGCGGATCAATCGCGTCCTACTATACAGGGTGTTTCAGTTTATTGTTGCATAACTTTAAGATTAGATAGAACTTTTAAAATTAATGCATAAAGTCTATATAAACATGGGTCGAAAAATGCGTGGCTTCCGAAATACAGGGTGTTTAAATTTACTTTCTAAAATAGTTTTTTTTAAATATTTCGAACAATATTTGATGTATAACAGTGAACATTGGTATAACAAGGGTTTTTTGGTACGACAAAATGAACCATGGGCATCGTTTTACTGTAGCCGCTAGAGGGCGCTCTCTACTATACCTGTGGTGTATTAAAATGACCGAAATTTTTTTCTTAGTGCAATTTTTTGCTTTTTGAATAAAAAACTGATTATTCGCACTTTTCAACATAAAAAGCTCTCCTGTGAGTTTTCGTTATAGTTAGCCGTTTTTGAGGTATTTCGATTTTTAAGGTTCGATGCAATTTTAATTATTTATGGGAAAATAATATTTTTTTTTACATTTTCGATTTGGGCATTACAAGTAATTAAGATGATGGTTTAGATTGTGTTTTTAAACACAGCAATAATTCCTAACTCCAAATAAACACAAAAAAACAGAATATTAATTTGTTTAATTTTCCAATATTATTTTTAACAAATTAAATTAATTATTTACAACTAAAATGCTATTGGATAGTTAGGACAAACATACAAAATCTAAAGTAGTTGCTCGAAATGTAAACCCAATTGTTCAATACACAATTCACATCTACGAATGATCGAACGTGGTATAGCATTATTCAAATAAGGCCTTATTTCATCACATGCATTCCTGATTCTGTCTATTAGCATATCTCTTGTGGTTACGGGAGTCTGGTACACTTTTTCTTTTAGAAATCCCCACACAAAGAAATCTAATGGATTTAGGTCAGGGGATCGTGGAGGCCAGGCGACTGGTCCTCCACGGCCGAACCATCTTTCTGGATAATTTTCGTCCAGCCAGTTTCTAACTATTCTCGAATAATGAGCTGGACAACCATCAAGCTGGAACCAGGCCAATCGTATTAAATCTAACATAACATCATTCCACATATTTGCATGTTCAGCCTTTAAAAATTCCAAGAAGGTCGCAGCATTTAACCTTGCAGGCAAAAGGTAGGGTCCAAATAGTCGATTACGGTAGCTACCAATCCACACGTTCACACTAAATTCATGCTGAAAATTTCTTTCCCGAACTGAATGCGGATTTTCATGCGACCAAATATGTTGATTATGAAAATTGACCACTCCACGGCTAGTGAAGCATGACTCATCGGTCCATAAAACGTTACTTAAAAACTCCCTATTATTATCAGTTCTATCAAGAATCCATTGACAAAATGTGATTCTTCGTTCTCCGTCCCCTGGCTGTAGTCCTTGCACAGGTTGCAAATGGTAAGGAAGTCTATGGTCATTTCTAGGAACACGGTGAACATGGCTTGCTGAAATTCCCAACGCACCAGAAACTCTCCTAACATTGGTCGGATCTCTATCAAACTCACGCAGAATCATACGGGTAAATCTGCGCTGACGAACATTTATGTTTTGATCCCTTTGGAGATTTCCAAAACCATTTTCAATTACGTATATTTGGCGATGCACTCTTACAAATACTGAGCGAGTTGGATGTCGTCTGTCTGGAAATCTTCGTGCGTATTCTCTGGCTCCTTCTGCTGCGTTTCCAATTACAAAGCCATACACAGAATGAATATCCGCTAACTCTTGATTGGAGAATAAAAATGGCATTTTTATAAATTTTCCAAAAAAAAGCAGGTAAAAGAAACTAAATTTCGTGCATTCACAATTGCCAAAAAACGTTTCAGGTTTCAACAGACAACAAATCTAACTGTCAACTAATTGACGTTTAACCTTATTCTGCTTTCAATTTCAAAAATATTTGCAGGCACAGCCTACTTCTAAAAATTATCGAGATACTGACGTTTGAACGTTATTTTATCATAAATAATTAAAAATGCATCGAACCTTAAAAATCGAAATATCTCAAAAACGGCTAACTATAACGAAAATTCGCAAGAGAGCTTTTTTATGTTGAAAAGTGCGAAGAATCAGTTTTTTTATTCAAAAAGCAAAAAATTTCACTAAGAAAAATGTTTCGATCATTTTAATACACTACAGGTACAGTAGCGGCTTCAGTAAAACTATGCCCTAGGTTCGTTTTGTCGTACCAAAAAACCCTTGTATACCAATTTTCACTGTTATACATCAAATATTGTTCGAAATATTTAAAAAAAAAACTATTTTAGAAACTAAATTTAAACACCCTGTATTTCGGAAGCCACGCATTTTTCGACCCATGTTTATATAGACTTTATGCATTAATTTTAAAAGTTCTATCGAATCTTAAAGTTATGCAACAATAAACTGAAACACCTTGTATACGAGTATGCACCGTATATTATGATATGCGTTTACAGCTTTCATGCTGTAGTTAATTATAAGAGCGGTATTTCTCTCTTATTTTGAATGAAAATTTTCTTCCTCCTTTATTGAGGGAGTAGAATAAGTAAATCGAATAATAAAAAGTGAGAGTTGTTCTATTGAATTTCGGGAAAGTATTCCTGAACACCGATCGAAGAGTCATTCTCAGGAGAAAAAATGCAGAATTCACGATGGCGTCCATCAGTCTCGACTGTAGAGGCGAAGGTACTTTGTGATGAAGTGATATAAACCTAGGAATATATTGTTTTACCGAAAATGGAAACTTTCACTTGTTCGATAATCGTCAATAGCTGTCATATTCTATTCTAGTGCACATTCAATGGGAAGCTAGAAGTAGAAGGCGCTAGTTAGGTTAGGGTCATATCAAAGGTTATGAGCAGAAAAACATGTCAATTGCTGATCAACTGTTCACGTTAATAGACACCAAAACGTGAAGATCAGGTTACCTATCTTTCAAATTTTTCCTGTCACCTGTCTACCAAATATGTCTTTTTGTCATCATCTTTCTATCAAATCTATTTTTCCCATCTACGTTTGGCAGCTTAACCCCCAGTCACACTGACGTGCCTAGCGGGAGCAAAATCGGACATCGCATCCATTGCTTCCAGATAGTTATTTCATCCATTATAATTGCCATTAGAGAGTATTTAGTGCAACATAAGTAACCAATCGTTGAGCCTTCGGTTAGGTTATTTTTGACAGCGAGAGCAAATAACGAATGTCAACGAAAAAAGAGCTTTTATGACTACTAAAGTGAAGCGTGATAATTTGACAGTACTGGCTACTGACAGTCATAACAAGCTGCTTATTTAGTCTCGATTTTGACGCGGACCCAACCCCAAAATTCCAAATCCCTGTTCAATTTTGTCATGGAAATTTGCACTAATATTTGTGTCCAAACTTGACAAGAAATTAATAGGTTTAGAATCATAGGACCTCAGAAGGACAAAGTTAGCACAACAATAAAATGCTACCTTGCCACATTGCATGTATAACAAAAATCAGGATCACTTAATTTATTTAGAACACTTCCAAATTCATGCATTTATTCTTATCTGTGATCTAAAACTCATACACTGACAACAGCGCTGAATAAGGCAAACATAACCTTAGAAAATGAGCTCTCTCCGTTCTCCGTAGCAACTTGAATCGGCACTTGTACTCGTATTTGAATACTAGCGTTCACACCAAACAGGCAACAATCCGGCTAGTTATTCAATAGTTACTGGCACTTGAGTCGTTGGTCGGCTTGAGTTGAAAGATGTCATCTATGAAAGATACTTCGCTTTGAAGTGATGCAGTTGGAGCAGCAGTATTGAAAACTTTCCGACAGAGCTATAGTTGATACAAGTAATGCGACATGCAAGGTAATTTTCTACGAGTGATCATCAGGCTCAAGAAATATTGTAACGTTCTTGTAACTGGAACTCTAAGCAACAATGAGAAGTCCTCGTAACATCGCAACCAATCACGCGACCCCACATCGAGAACGTTCGAGATGCAACGGGAAGTATCGACTGCCATCTACCAGTTTCGACGAAGAGCCTAGAAAGCGTGGGAACGTTTCTGGATTTGTCGATTCGAAGATAAATAGACGCACAGAGGGAAGAGAGAGTGAACCCTCAGCGAATGATGAGTCATCAGTACGAAACCTAATATTCCAGTCGACATAAACATATAATTGTAATTAATAAACTGAAAGTATGAGAGTACTAATTTAGACTTTAAATGACAATAACGGTGTTTTCGTTACAATATGATTGCATACAAAGTGTTACTTTTCGTATATGGTTCATTGCATATTATACAGACCTTGTACAAAACATGACATTACCAGTAAAATTACAATACGTCATCAATTCACGTATTATACCTGAATGGAGATAACCATATACTTTTTTGGGCAAAATGGGATCTGAAAGATACTAGCCACACATATCAGACAATGTACCAAAATACAAAACTAAATTCAGAAATCCACTTTGAGAAGAGTTAGAGTTTGATCCTGCTGCTATCTCATAGACGGCGCTGGATGTTCAATCTTTCTTTGGCGCCTTCCAAATGCCTATTTTAATTGGATATCTTCAGATAGAATACGTCAATCAAAGAGCACGTTTATAGCACGATCTTGTATAATACGGCAGGGTAGCAACAAATAGCTTCAAACTGAAATATCTCTTGAAAGTTGTGATGAAACTAACCTTCCTAGTTTGTACAACGGATGTTGCAATGCCGACAGCAGACATAATCATTATAGCGATACTGTAGTAGATATAGTCCTCTACCAGCCATACTATCAAACTACACATTTGGAAAATGTAAAAAGGTGTTAACGCTTCTAGTACCAGAAGCGTCAAAATACTCTGAATCGGAACAGATATTTCATTGTCTCCATATACTATTCTCCTGAAAAAATATAAACCTTTTTAAAACGCTCTTCAAGATGAAGGTTATAGGCGAAACTACATATGAAAATTGCCTCCAAAGGTATCCAAATCCGGATCAATCCAAAATGAGGTATGTTGAATTCAATCACCTTGCCCAAATTATCAGGTCGATAGGTCGCCCCTATAGGCCCCAAACCTCAAAAACGTGTTTTATCAAAAATATTTTCTTACGGGTGGAATTATTGCAGTCCCACTCTATGTCTGTCGCTGCTGACCGGCAGATCGACGGTGGCTGGGGGAAGATGACACGACGCCAAGACGCCAAGGCTTTCAACCGATTCAACGCAGCGCAATAAGACGTTATATTTGTTTGTTACTTAAGATGGTTGAAATATATATTTATTACTGCAAGTAGTATTGATCGACTAACGGCTCACCATCCTAGACAACATCAGAAGTGGGTGTTTTACGGTGGTTCCCAATTTTAGCAAATATTCTGCAGGCTGTTGTTTGCTCAGAGATTGGACAAGATGCCAAAGCAAAAGCAAAGGAAATCCAGAAAACGAAGTAGAAGAGAACCTTCCTCGTCTTCAACAACCAGTAGTTCTTCCGGCAGTTCTAGCAATAGTAATGGGCATAAACATAAGAGATCCAGGTGTAAGTCAAGGGAAACCGTGAGTAGCGAACATTATTCTACTTTTACGAGGGCCGATCAGGGAATACATATTTCGATGGTAATTCCAGAATTTGATCCGAAAATTAATGACATATCAGAGTGGTTAGAGGTTATCAAATATAATGCAGATATTTACAAGTGGCCTGATAGCCTTATTAAGTGTCATGCTTTGAATAAACTCAAGGGTACAGCCAAAACCTGGTATGACAGTTTCATTCAGGGTGACTTGGGGTGGTCTAGTTATGCTTGGGGCCAGTGGGAGGATATATTGAAAAATACATTCCAGAGTACACGTAATGCTTATCAACTGTTGATGGAAATGGTAAATCATAGACCCAGCGAAGGTTGTTCGTTATATGATTTTTGTTTTGAACACATAGCGAGAATAAATAAGTTACGAGTAGGATTTTCAGATTGTGACAAGGTATCATTAATTATAGGTGCTATAAATGACGTTAATATAACATCAGCTGTGGAGGCAGCAAATATTCGAAATCCTCATATTTTGGCGGCATATCTGAAGAACAAAACTTATACTGGTAGGGGCAAACCGTTAAAATCAGAGGTGCAACAGTCAATCAATCAAAGTGGTCGATTGGGAGCATCTGACAATATAGTCCGGTCAAGTACGATACATCAAAATGTAAATTGCACCACATGTGGCAACAGAGGTCACGAGCGGAATGATTGTAAACATAGAAATAAGATATGCAATTTTTGCAGAATTAAGGGGCATATTGAGGTGAATTGTTTCAAGAAACGAAAGAACTCAAGTGAACCAGGCAGATGGGATAATTCAACTAAGTCTTCAAAAGTAAAACAAAAAATTGAACAGGTCAAATTAATTAAAAGTCAGAATAGTGCTTCAAAATTTTTCAAAAAAATATTTCTTGATGGGAATTTAATAGAAGCTTTTGTGGATTTTGGTAGTGATTGTTCTCTAATAAAATTGGCAATAGTGCAGGAGCTAGGGTTAACGTTGAAACCTCTTGGGGAGAAGGTAACATTGTCAGGATTTATGGGTATAGGGACTGTTGTTACGCAATTTGTTGAGGTAATGACCCAAATTGATCAGGTGAAACTTAATACAAAATTTTATGTGGTTTCTAATGAAAGTGTAGACAATGATGTTCTTGTTGGGAGAAATTTCACAGAAAATAATACTATTATGTATTATCGTATAGATGACAAGTTGATATTCAAAATAAAGGACAAAAAGCCACAGTGGTTGCAAAATGTCAAAACAGGGGTGTTGTCAGAACAAGATAATAAGACTCTGCAGGATATTCTAATTCAATATCAAGGTTGTATATTTTTGAATTTGAATAATTTGGGGAAGGCACACTCTGTTTCATTAAAAATAGAGTTGGTCAATGACAAACCAGTCACTCATAAGACCTATCGATTAGCAGAGATAGAAAAACAAATCATGAGAGGTAAGGTACAGGAACTTTTGGAGGCTAAAATCATACGTGAAAGTAATTCACCATATGCCAGTCCTGCTCTTCTGGTCAATAAAGGAACTAATGACAAACGACTAGTTGTCGATTACAGGGCGCTAAACAAAATAACTGTTAAAAATAATTTTCCAATGCCATTAATCGAAGAAATTATTGATAATTTGAGTGATTACAAGTATTTTACCTCGCTTGACCTAGCATCAGGTTACCATCAAATACTGATGGAGCCTGCTTCAATGAAGTATACAGCGTTCATAACACCTGAAGGGCATTTTGAGTACGTTCGTATGCCGTTTGGGCTTTGTAATGCCCCATTGGTATTTCAGAAATTTATGAATGAAATCCTTATGCCTTTAAGAAAATTTAATGTGGTTCCTTATTTGGACGACATCTTAATACCGTCAAAGACTATAGAGGAGGGGTTAGATTTATTGCCTAAGGTACTGAAAATTGTACAGGAGTATGGTATTGTAATAAAAATCGAAAAGTGTTCTTTTCTTACAGAGAAGATAGTTTATCTAGGATATCAAATCTCATACAATCAAATATCACCATCCAACCTGAAAATTGAAGCGGTGGAACAATTTCCTTGTCCTAAGACACAACATCAACTGAGACAGTTCTTGGGTCTCGTCGGCTATTTTCGGAAGTTCTTAAAAGATTTTGCGCGAATTACCGCCCCATTGACGAAGCTATTAAAGAAAGGAAGTCGGTGGTCTTGGACAGAAGTTCACACACAAATAGTCAAAGATTTAAAAGCCAAAATTTGTGCAGAACCTATTTTGGCAATATTTAATCCAAAAGCACTGACAACCGTATATACGGATGCTAGTCGTGATGGTTTTGCAGGAATTTTGATGCAAAGTACAGATGGTAAAGAGAGACCAATAGCGTATTTCAGTAGGCAAACTAATACCGCTGAGAAAAATTATCATTCTTTTGAGTTGGAACTATTAGCAATAGTCAAAACTTTGGAACGGTTCAGATTTTATTTAGTAGGCTATCAGTTCCAAATTTTTACTGATTGCAATGCGGTAAAGAACGCATTATCTAAGCAGTCGATAATTCCAAGAATTGCTAGATGGGTCTTGTCTTTACAAGAGTTTTCTTTTACCATTCACCATAAAGCAGGTACTCAGATGCAACATGTAGACGCACTTAGCCGAAACTTTAATGAATCTCAAAACAAAGCACAAGTCCTACTCATCCAAGAAGATGACTATCTCAGGGAAGCACAGGATCAAGATGAATCCATAGTGGAAATTAAAAATATTCTTTTAAGTGGGGATGTTCAGAGTCACAAAGATGTTTTTAATAATTACGATTTAAGGGGGAACAAAGTCTATAAGTTAACACCTTATGGGAGAAGATGGGTAGTCCCAAAGAAGTGTAGATGGCAAATCGTCAAAGCAAACCATGACGATATAGGTCATTTTGCGGTTGATAAAACGTTAGAGAAAATTAAGCAACGGTATTGGTTTCCCAGAATGAGGCATTTCATAACAAAATACATAAATGCATGTTTACCTTGTTTATATCATAAAGATAAAGGGGGCAAAAGACCCGGGTACCTTCACTCCATCCCAAAGTATGCTAGACCACACCACACACTACATATAGATCATTTAGGACCTTTTGTGAACACAAAACAGGGAAACAAGTATTTAATAGTTGTTGTTGATGGCTTTTCGAAATTTGTGTATTTAAAAGCAGTTCCTGATACATCTGCAAAATACGTAATTCAAATGTTAACTGAAATGTTCGCGATGCTCGATAACCCAAGACGACTCATCACGGATCTTGGATCTGCGTTTACTTCAAAGGCCTTCGAGGAATTTGTTGCTGCAAGAGGGATACGGTTATTTACAACAGCTGTTGGTCTCCCAAGAGGCAATGATCAATGTGAGCGGACGAACAGAACAGTTCTAGACGCTTTAGCAACATCTGGTTCGCAAACAAGTGAAGACAATTGGGATACTAATCTTTCACATATACAACAAGGACTGAATAGTACTAGACACCGTATTACACAAAACACGCCCTCAGAAGTAATGTTTGGTTTCCAACTACGGACTGATAGTGACAAATACCCTGATGACGATATGGAAACAACTCTAGATGTTACAAAAATCCGAAAAGAGACAGCCAAACGTCTGGAACACAATAGAATCGAACAAGATTTAAAATTTAACACTAAACGTTCTCTACCTAGGTTGTACCAGGTGGGAGATGTGGTATTAACTAAAGTAACCAGCTTTTCAGCGAATGAAGACAGTAAAAAGTTACGTCCTAAGTTTAGAGGACCATTCAAGATAGTTGAGGTTCTACCCAATGACAGGTATAGAGTGCAAGAAGATCGTTTCACACAGAGGTCAAGACGACCATATCAAGCTGTGGTAGGTGTGGAACACATGAAACCCTTCAAAGTTCAAAATCAATAAGGTGAGTAATGAACTACTCAAATGTTACGCCCTCAATGGCATCTGTTCTGCTCTCAATGGCAAATGTTACGCCCTCAATGGCATCTGTTCTGCTCTCAATGGCAAATGTTACGCCCTCAATGGCATCTGTTCTGCTCTCAATGGCAAATGTTACGCCCTCAATGGCATCTGTTCTGCTCTCAATGGCAAATGTTACGCCCTCAATGGCATCTGTTCTGCTCTCAATGGCAAATGTTACGCCCTCAATGGCATTGTTCTGCTCTCAATGGCAAATGTTACGCCCTCAATGGCATCTGTTCTGCTCTCAATGGCAAATGTTACGCCCTCAATGGCATCTGTTCTGCTCTCAATGGCAAATGTTACGCCCTCAATGGCATTGTTCTGCTCTCAATGGCAAATGTTACGCCCTCAATGGCATCTGTTCAGCTCTCGATGGCAACTGTTACGCCCTCAATGACGTTCGGGACGAACGTGACGTCAGGATGGCCGTGCAGTCCCACTCTATGTCTGTCGCTGCTGACCGGCAGATCGACGGTGGCTGGGGGAAGATGACACGACGCCAAGACGCCAAGGCTTTCAACCGATTCAACGCAGCGCAATAAGACGTTATATTTGTTTGTTACTTAAGATGGTTGAAATATATATTTATTACTGCAAGTAGTATTGATCGACTAACGGCTCACCATCCTAGACAACATTATGCACAAAAACTTTTGAAAAGTTACCGTTGCTATATCGTTATATATACTACATAATGGACGTTTTAACAATTTTGTTAATTTGGATTGACTGATATTTGTATTCCTTTGGAGGCAATTTTAGTTTGTATATAATTTCGCCTATAGCCCTTGTGAAAAAGCTTCAGGAAAAGGCATGCATTCACTGTCGCTTCTTGCTCTCGTCAAATTGTTAATAGTCGCTTAAGTCTATATCAAGTTGATGAAAAAAGAGATAATCCCATTTCCTGTAAGTTTGCCTTGAAAATATTGATATGATTAGAAATTTCGTTCAACGGTCAGCTCTGGTTGTACAAAAGTACAAAAATTGAAATAACTTAGTGTCACTCCAAATTCGGTCATAATCTTAAGGCCGTTATAACGATTATTGTTGATCTTACTTGAGATTTTGTTCTTCCTTGTTCTGTCCCCCGAAAGTATGGATATCTGCTCTAGTAATGCCTTTGTCAAATCCAGCTAGTTTGCAGAATGTTTTCGTTTTGTCATCCCATACATAAGTCAACTTCTTGCATCGTATTATGCGAGCATTATATAATTCTAGAAATCGTTGTTTTTAAAAATGCTAATAAAGTAGATAAACGCTAAAATTCCTTAATAGAGATGCGCTGAATTGTTGATATTTAGACAATCTCCTAGTTCTTTTTTTTGAAATTAGATTTTTTCCAAAAAATATATAATTATCCGGTATGTTCAAATGATTCAACCTTATCTGGGTTTTTTGAATTATTTTAGTGTTTCGATTACACATACTGTGAGAAGCCAAATATTCCTTGTCCAACGTTTCACTTCTTCTTACCTTTTTTTCGGCCATCGCACAGATTGAATACGGTGCGTATATTATCTGTATTACCAGAGCTTCTAAGCAAAAATGCATAATTAGTATTTATAATAAACTGAACCACATAAGTATAAAACATACCTTCCTAAGTCCACATTCAACACTTTTACTTCTTTGACAAAGTAAGACTTATATTTGTTCTTGTAAATATCCTGTAATTAGGAATATCCACTAATTTATATATATATATATATATATTTCAGTAGGCAACTTTGTTGAGTTGCACACAAAAACGTAAAAACCCACATTGGTGTTGTTCACTAAATGTTTGCTTTAAATACAAAATGCAGAAAATCAACGAAATCAGCCTTTCCACATCCTTGCTAGGTATACTGGAGTTACTTTTTTATTAGGTACACCAGGTATTTTAATTTTGGCGTAATGTTAAGAGCCTTCTCGGTAACTACACCTCACTGCATTATTTTTTATATTAACTTACTATTATAAGAACTTTTTCTGCCACCTTGAGGCTACAACTAGAATGTGTAGCTTTCAGATGTAATTCTGGATACCAATGGAAAAGCAGCCTCAGTAGTCCAAAAGACAACAAGTAGCATGTCCTCACTATATTAGCTTTCTCCTTGCTATATACATATCCCTGGATTTCCTACAAAGAGGTATGAAAACAAGGTTACCAGCTATTTCAAATTTAACCCTGGCAATTGGTATTTCGAAAACAAAATATTTTTTGATAATCCTAATTGTTTATCTTTGGACATCCTTTTCTATATTTGTACTTTGCTTAGAATAGGAAATTTTGTTCGAGTAGAAGTTTTACTTACCATCTGGTCTTCTTCGTTAAGATTGATGTAATCCTTCTTGTCATGTTTGAAGTTGTAGGAATTACAGTCATTTTCCCTCACTAAAATTTTGATCAATTTGGTGTGCATTTTATGTAAACAACATTATTTATGAGCAATTATTTCTGCGCTATCTATAAATCCTATTTATTGTTATGTAACATCATGATATCTTTGTACTCATCAAACCAGTGCAGTAATCCTAAAATTTTACTACCATTTTTTAAAATTGACGACTTAATTTTACATGACCACGGTGTCTATCAATATAAATTGCTCGATGGCCACAGCAGCATTTCTTACAAAATTTTTCACAATAAATTAGGGTAACAAAAATCTCTACGAGTACGAGTAGTTCCATTTTTGAATCTTCATATACTTTATAAATTCTTTCTTGTTTTATCAAAGATTCAGAAGAAGGTTGACACGAGTTTGAACTAGTCCCCCATCTCCCTTCTCTAAACAAAGTTCAAAATTTTGTGGATATACAGATCATGGTGAACAGATTTTTATGTGAATTCCAGAAGACACAAATTCTTTTAAATCTCTTATAAGATTATTAGGTGCCAAGTAATCTGACACTCCATAATGAATAAAGAATAGTTTAGATTTCAACAGCCAACGATATCTAGCATCAAGGTTAACAAGATAAAATATGTTTTGATGGAAAAATGTTAAATACGTAACCCAGTTGCAGTTGGTAAATGTGAATAACATTAGTGATACAATTGATTAAGGTAACATATCAGAAGTCAGCCCAGACGATGCTATATTCGCGCGTCCAAAAAATTATTCGAGATAAAATGAGAATTTGTCATAGCTGTTTCTCTATTTACTATATATATACGTATATACTAAGTGACATATAAATCCGAACACCCAGTTTAAATGGTTTTATTTTAATAAAAGTTGGTGAATGTATTTATCTTACTGTAAATAACAAGTGAAAAAATTTTCAGCCTTATCAGTTGGACATTCCGGTTTTTGTACTGCTTTTTTTTAATTCACTAACGCTCTAAACATGAATATTTCAGCCGCAGTAAAGAATCAACGTTGGCGGATTTTGGTTCTTGACATCCTTCACGATCGGTTACGATTTCGTCAACTTAGTGAGTTTGATAGGGGCCGTATAGTGGGACTTCGGGAAGCAGGACTTTCTTTTCGGGCAATTGCAGTTAGAGTGCAAAGAAGTGTAGACACTGTGGTTAGGTGTTGTCAGGCATGGCTTCGAGAAGGCCGTACGCAAAGAGCAAGGGGCACTGGACGCCGCCGTAGAACAACAGACCGTGAAGATCGCCGCCTAACATTATTGGCCTTAAGGGACCGTTTCTCCACTACCAGGTCCATTGCAAATGAATGGTTTGCAGAAATCGGAAGACCTATTGGCATGCGAAGTGTTTACTGACGAATGAGAAGTTTTGGCTTGTTTTCATACCGGCCACACTGGGTCCTCCCTTTAACTCGAGAACACCGACGTAATCGCCTTGAGTGGTGCAGACAACGGTCACTCTGGGATCAGGAATGGAACAGTATTGTCTTTAGTGACGAGTCTCGATTTTGTTTAGGCATGCACGATGGTCGTGCCAGGGTTAGAAGGCGACGTGGTGAAAGGAGGAATCCACAGTTTTTTATTGAAAGACATGTTCATCACACTGTTGGAGTTATGGTTTGGGGTGCTATAGCTTATGGTTCCAGGTCACCTTTAATCTTCATCAGAGGTAATATGAAGGCGCAGCGTTATATCCACGAAGTTCTAGAACCCCATCTTTTACCCTATCTTGACACCCTGGCAGATCCAACTTTCCAACAAGATAATGCCCGACCACATGTTGCAAGAGTCACAATAGACTTCTTTCAACATAATGATGTCATATTGTTACCATGGCCACCAAGATCTCCCGACTTATCCCCAATTGAGCACGTGTGGGATATGATTGCTCAATTTGCAACGTCCTCCTCAGACTCTAGAAGCACTTCGAGAGGAGTTGGTGGTTGCCTGGAATGAGATACCACAGGAGGACATTGACCACCTGATCAGAAGCATGCCTAGGCGCGTTGGAGAATGCGTAGCACATCAAGGTGCATCCACACTATATTAAAGGTCAAAGGGCTTTAAAGCAGTGCAATCATTTTGAAATTTTTATCATTTACTTATTATGCTTCATTAAGTACTTATACAAAATTTTATTAAAATAAAACCATTTAAACTGGGTGTTCGGATTTATATGTCACTTAGTATACTTTCGAAAGTTTGGTGTCTCATAGATGACACTGTCTATATGAGCATATACAAACACATTGGTGACTACGTACATAGCTCTCGATAGACTATCAACGAGGCATCCGGTATCGATAGTGTGGGTACCGGGGCACGCTAGGATAAAGATATAGCGAAAGCTCTTGCGAAAACAGGACCAGCGGAAAAGCTTGTTGGTCCTGAGCCAGCCCTATTAGCCCTATAGACAACACTCTCAAGAATGGAGAAATATCTCTAGACATCTATGTCAGACACGGGAGCTCGTAGGGCCCAGTGATAAGAATCGACGATTTTGCTTGTCTTTGGATAGAGCCAACCTCGGGTCATGGAGGTGGCTGATGATCCCATGTGTGAGCATTGCGGGGCAGTGAATCTCTGAACTGGAGCTGCTAGACTATACATTAATCAATGGTGATACCTACTTTCACAGCAGTTTTTGGTGCAATGAAAAAATTAAATATTATAGCTTCTTCGTTAAACTAAGATATCTAGAATTTCGATTTCAGAAAACATTGTGTTAACAACCTTCATATTGGCATCTTATCCTTGAGGGAGCATTCAAAAACTATAAAGTACAACCACATGTATTGACAGGTATTCCAAACGTTTAAGATGATCTTCAAAACAATGAGAATCTTGGTTTTGTCTGCTTTCCAGGTGACAGCTCGTTTGTTTTTTCTTTTCATTATCATACTCCTAAACAGTATTACTACAATAGTCTCAAAATCCCGTAACATGCCGCATTTGTGTGAAGACATCATTCTGAATTTTAAGATGGCACTACATTAAAGTCGTAAGAGATAAAAAAGACCTCATCAAATATGACTTTATGTATTAAACTTGCTGCAGCGGTTGTTATTGCAAAAAGGTCGATAGTAAGTAAAGTACCGTAGTTCTTACCGAAATACTTCTACTTCAAATCTAAAATTAAGTACCTGAAGACACAGCATATACAGTGTGTAAACGTTATGGTAGTCATTATTGAAATGGGTAATCGGGGGGTCAAAACAAGTCAAAGTTCATATGACCCATGGTCCAAAAGTTAGTAGATTTTTGTCTAACTGGCTTTATATTTTACCACTTTAAGTGCTTTATATCCACCAAAACCACCACAATCTTACTAATTTTTATGATCTAATCTAAAACGTTTTTAAATTGGGTAATCAACAAATAAATGGCATTAAGTTGTTCTAAGTTAAGCCAAAATTTGTAGTCAGTAAGTAAGTTTCATTAAATTAAAAATTTAAAACACACATGACAACAACGCGTCGGTCTTTCATCACTCTTATCGAACCGGCAGTCGATCGCAAAACGGTAACAGTGGTTAGTTATCGTTTTGCATAGATAAATTACTTTATCGTTGCGTCGAACATAGCATCGGGCGTGTTGTTTTGTTTTTGTTCGCGTACATCGACGAGTTGATTTACAAAGTTCTCGAATCAAGAGTTCGCCGACATGTTGTTAGTTTACGGTAAGGTTCGTCAGAATTCAAATCTTGCAGCTCTTGCAGAAGTACATTTGTGCAAGTGTACCAATGACTTCAAGATAAAGGAAGTGTTCAGCCCACTAATATTCGCACTCGTGAAAGACAGGTTACTGTAGAGCAGGAAGAACAAATTTTAAATATCGTGTAAATCAATGCAGATATCAGAACTCGGGAATTAGGCCGCCGCATACCATAGTCCATAGAATCCTACGGGTAAATTTGCTTTCCCCTACCAAGTACAACGAGTGTAGGCCTTGTTACCAGAAGACTATCCTCGCAGACTAACATTCTGACAGTGCTTTTTGCACGAAAACATTGAAAATCCGGATTTTTTTAAAAACATTTTAGCGACGACTTTTACGCGAGACGGGATATTAAAGTTCCATAATACTCACACTTGGGCCCAAGAAAATCCTCATACCATTCGTGAAGGTCATTTCCAACAACGTTTTAAAATAAATATTTGGGTGGGTATTCTTGACGATCAGGTAATTGGCCCTTTCGAGTTACCCCCAAAGTTGTCAGCAGAAGGATACCTTAGCTTTCTAGCCAATAACATACCAGAACTTTTGGAACAGACCTTAGACAACATGACATTACAACGGAGCATTTGTGGTTTCTCCATGACGGGGCACCACCACACATTTTTAGAGGCGTCATTCAGTATTTGAATGAACATTATCCAAATCGCTGGATCGGTCTAAATGCTCCTGATCCTCGAAAATGGCCAGCATGATCTCCTTACCTCAATCCGATGAATTTCTGGTATTGGGGAGAACTTAAAGGGAGGACTTTTGGGACTGGTCCAATAACAACTGAAGCACAACTTCGCGAAAAAAATTTTAATGCGGCTAAAATAACAAATGGACAACTTCGAGGGTCGCTTTTCTCTAAAAAAATGCCGTTTTGAACCCCACTAATAGACCCTGATGCTTTCTGGGGTATTTTCATTTACTCTGAAGAATACAATTCTATCAGAATACGACTATACATGGTCCGTTTTTCCTTTAAAAAATATACTGAATTCCATACATCCCCGGTATACAGCAGAGGTAATTTAAACATTATGCCAATTTCAACCGCAGACAAATAATTTGATGGGTATCCTTCTCAATTGCTGACCTTGGACTTGGTAGCATTAAAATGTACTAAAGCATATCGTTCAACCTGAGCTCTGCTTTTTTCAATCACGGTCCAAATGATTCTGAAAGGTAATTAAGGCGTATGAAGGGTGTATCAGAAGTTTGAGGTAGAATAAAACAAATCGTTAAAAAAGGTTATACTCGTATTTGAAGTATGGTATTAGAAAGCGCAGCCACAAGCACAAGCTATAAGATGCCTTCTAGACCGTTTAGAGCCTACATGTCTCTAGTTTGTCGGCGCAAACCATTCAGATTTCACATATAATTGTAAAAAGGTCTAGTTCTAGGAAGTAAAAGCTACGTTAAATTGACTTACGTACAATTATGAAAAAGCAATGTCCCAAATGTTCTCAACATCAGTGTTCGCCGAGAACGTAGCCTGCGCGGGGGTATGCCCGTACCTTTTCCATCAAGGTGGGTTAATTGACTGGTATCATTGGGCGATCGCAAGCGGTGAGCATAGTATTAATCCCAATAACATATGTATTACAGACACTTAATGTTACCGGGATCAGAAGCCTCCTAATAATAGAAACTGATACCAAACATGCAACGTCTACAAACGTTCGGCCCCCTACAACCCCAAACCCCCAATTTAATTTCGAATCTTGTCGCGAGTAATTTCATATAAAATTTGACAAGTTATTATGGACACACACCATAACTAGCGCATACATGCTATAGACAGCTTCTGTTTTAGTGAAAGTCGCTTAAGCGCATTTAATTTTTCTGTTGACCAGCGTTCAGT